ACACAGGAGAAAAGTAAAAGAGGAAGACAAGGATGGTGAATATGAAGAGCTACTGTGACATTTGAGATAAACAGCGTTGTGTGAAAATCTTGTTCATTTCTCCATGAAAGCTGAATTTTTGGGAGACTTCATCACCAGCACCATCACAGCTTCAGTCAGGTGATTTTCTAATGACACAGACAGCGGGCAATGCAGCTATTACTGCTCATGTAAACTAAGAACATCAATTGAATAGATGCCCTTTTCTATTGAATAGAAATATGAATTTACTGGAAGAGATTATCATTGCATATAATTTCTATTAAATTAGATCTCCCTGATTATGAGCTTTATCAAGAACAGCAAAAAAAAAAAAAAAGGGGGGGGGGGGAGAAGGAAAGAAAAAGCAATCCTCCAGCAAATAGTTTAAATGAGTTAGCTTAAAAACTGCATTAAACTGTCTTAGCTATCAAATGATGCAATCAAATTTAAAAATGATGTGCTCATAAATGAACCAGGAACAAATGTAAAAAGTTGTTATGGTAACTGAAATACTGAAGTTAAAATTATGGATCCCAAATCCTTGCAAATAAAAGGAAATGAATTTCTAAGGTAATTGAAATTTCTTTCAAAAATTATGTATCACAGCATCATCTTTCATAGTTTAAGCAGAATTGATTTGATGACTTTCTAATGAAATATAATTATTCAAGAAGAATGTTTTAGTAGCTTATGAATTATTATATTCTTGATATTTGTCTTTTAATCATTGGTTACCCTTGCTGCACTGTATGATTTTTTTCCATTCATATGATTTTATTGGACATATATGTTTTGTACCTGAGCCATTAGATTATGGTTGCTGTTATGTATCACTTTATTGTTGTTATATGCTGTTATATATCACTTACATTTTTCTCCAATCCATTGCATCCTACTTTAAAAATGCTCCCTCCCTCCCCCCTCCCATTTTTTTACTTTGGAAAGACACTTTTTTTAAAAATAAATAAATAAATAAATCCTAGTGATATTTGGTAATACATTTGAGTGGGCGCTTGTGACATGTCTGCAAAACACTCAATAAGGCAACAATTTTTATGTCAGCAACAGCATTAATAATCATAAGACCATGTTTTCAAACAGTTTGCAAAGCTGGGTGCGTGCAAATTGCTGGATTCCTTTGGAAATGTGTCCCAGTAATTTCAAAGCTGTATGCATGCAGTTTTCAAGGAGTTTGTGGTTATGATGAGACAATTCCTTGAATCTCAGGAATTTTACTTCACTGAGAGAATGGTTGAATCAGGTACTGTCTCTATCAGAATGTGGTTTTTGGTGTATATTATCAGAAGAAACATAATGAATTATTTTTTTTTTCTGTAAGAGGCTGAGCTACAAGACAAAGGTTATTTCTGTATTTTCATAAAAGTCTTTAGAAGAGAGACTTATGATTTGCTTAGTGAAACAGTATAGACATATAGATTGCATATAGCATCTATATTGTTCTTGTGGAATTTTCATGATTTCTGTAGTAATTTCCATGATTTTTAATTATTATTATTTTTTTTTTAATTAAAAGATGTTGGACTGGGCAATATCTCCAAATGTTATCTATCTCTATTGCCCATGTTTCACTAATATCTCACTTCTATGGGAGACAATAGAACCTCAATAGCCTGTGAATAATTCTGTAGCTGTACCTTTTAAGTTATTAATTCTTGTTCTTCCTCCTTTTTGCCCTTCCTCCTTTATGCCCCTCCTCCAAGTTTTTTTGAAGACAGCTCTTCAACCTATAGAAAGAATCTGAAGATTTGTTGTTGTTTTTCTTTTTTTTTTTTTAAGAGTAAAAAAAGAATTCTTTCCATATATCTTTATTGGTTATGTTTTCTAAGCAGCTTGTGAGTCATCCTTGCCCTTCTTCAAATCCATTTTTAGTTGATGTGTAAGTATGCATATAACATCCAAAATCAGACACCATGTTCTTTCACAGGCTTCATCAGTGCCAAGTTTATCAAAATATTTACCTCCAGTTCTTCTATTTTCCGGTTCTAAATACAACCTAGAATTAGTTTTTCTTCTTCTGCAGCAAAATTGTGTTCTTGATATAATTTAAGAGTCTTTGCTTTGTTTTTTGGAAGTTATTCTCCATATCAGTTTTGTATCTTTGATTTCTCTATTTCTAGGAGTATTTTTTACACTTGGTTTTGGAATATTTTATCATGCTGATTTTTGTGTTATCTACAGAAAAGTTTCTGCGTGTTTGTTCTTTGACCATGAAGGTGCTAATGAAAATATTAAATGTAGATCTATCATATCTTTGTAATACATGTCTCAAAATGTCTTCCTCTTTGAATAACTACTTTCTGAAAATGTTTTTTTTCCTAATTAGATATGCAATCCCATTCTTCATTATGATTTTAACTGCACTGATATTTCCTGTTTTGTTTTTTTTTTTTTTTTTTTTAATTTCAGACAGTGTCACCTAGAACTGTGTAACTCTTTTAACAAAGGTCAAAATATGCCACATTTACTACTTTCCTTTATCTACTAAGCCAGTTACCCTGTAAAAGAAGGAAATTACATTAGTTTGACATGATTTGTTTTTGACAAATCCATGGTTGCTGTTATCATTTTAATTATCTCCAAGGCGCTTATAAGTGGATAGCTTAATAATTTGTTTGGTATCTTTGTGGGTATCAAAATGAATTCTGTAACTCCCTGGGCTCTAGTTTTTTTCACATCAATTTTGTTTTGTTTTTGTTTATTGAGGGGAGTTTGGGGGAATCTGTGTTTTTGTTTTAAATATATAGGTGAAATATTCTCCTTTTTATAGTCATCTGGAATCAACCTCATCCACTGTAAGGTCTCAAACATACTTATTAATTGTCCAGAGATTGTGTTTCATGCTTTCAGGAGACTTTTGACTATATTCTGCTTTGAACTCAACCAGCCATCTCCTTCCTTCTCCCTTGACTCATCTACCTCAGATAGCTAACATGAATGAAGAAAATTTAATTTTCTTCAGTAGAAAATGTTTTCCTTAAGTCAGGAGTGAGGCTTTGAGAGGAATTGGATCCTTGCACTTCAATGTATTTGTTGATAAATGAGTTAATAAAAGAAATGTAACTGTTTTGTAAAGTTTATGGAGCCTGGAGAAGCATTCACTAAGGTAGGTAGCTGCAGAAAAACATGGTAAAGTCTGCCTTACTTTAGTACCTTGTGTGGAGAAAAAGAAATTAAAAAAAAAAAAAGAAAAAGAAACAGGTATTTAGCATGCAAAAGACACTTAATTTCTGTCAGCAAAGCCAGTCATATTGAACTAGGCATTGTGGAAAAAGCATGAGACCACCTAAGCAGTCAGTTTATTGCATATGTAAGTACAAGTGAATAAGAGCATATGGTGACAGCAGCTCTCAGGATCCAGCTGAACCAGAAAAAGGAACCAAACCTGTAGGTCTCGATGCAAGACAGTTGTCCTGCTGAGAGAAGAGGGACCACACACCTATATTCACATACAGTCAGTGGACTGAGCCACAGTTTTTTTGGTTTTGTGTATTGTTTCTACTTCTGAACCCCAGGGCGAAACGTAGAGAGAGTAGATGATGCAAGTCCTTTAATTTCAGAACCTTACTATGAAAAGAGCAAAACATGCGAACTAAATGCCGATGTTTCTGTTTAAATAGGCACACTTCTGTTGGTGAAGTTTCCTGTGAGCGTGGACTGTTCAATCATGGGCAGTGTGGGCAGTAATCTATCAATTATACCTACACCTCTGTGCTATGTCTGAAAAGCAAAGACACTGGGGGAAGGAAAAAAAAAAATGGAAGAGGTCACTGTACATCTTTAGTCTCTGCAACTTTTTTTCAACCTCTGTGGTGGACTTCAGACCTCTACATCCATCTATCATGGAAGAGGCTTAGGTGCAAAGATGTTGCCTCTGTTGCCAAGAATTCACCATTTCCTCGCTTCTGCTCTACCCTAGCTCCTCTTTGAACCTGGTATTCAGGACAAGAGAAATGAGTGTAAACAGCAGAATGCTTTTAGCAAAACTATACCATTCCTGCTCTGTCTGGACTTGGACAAAACAAAAGGAATGAATTAGTTTGGAGAATGCTACTAAAGCTTGGAATATGAACTCTGTGCAGTATGAGCTGCACAGGAATTGTTGGCTTCAGAATCAACCTTAAATTCCTTGGCAAGTAAGACACATAAGCCTAATACAAACCACAAATACATTTGACTTTTGCCCAGATAGAGTCTTTATCCTTTCTAATTTGTTGCTGAATGTCATACTTGCCCATTTTGTTTTGGAAATAAATATTCTGGCTTTGAAAATGTTGGCTGCTTTGGCAGTGAAACCATGTTTTTAAAGCTGTGAGATTTCCAGTTTTTTTTCAAAGAGAAATCTACAGTTTATGACTGTTTTTTGTTTGAGATTGGACTATCTGAAATGAAGAGGAGAGTCAGAATTCTCCAGCACAATGTGTATATTCAGTCTATTCCTTAGAAAGGAATACAATTTCATGATACTGCTGTGAGTTTGAACCATAGTAATATTGCCATCTGAAATCTGTAGAAATTAAAAAGAAATAAAAAGTTAAGAAGTTGCACCATCATCATAAGGAATTAGTGACAGAGTTGGAACCTGAATCCAGCATTCCTAAGTTCTGATCCCTGATCAGAAAGGTCAAAATTCCAGGTCAAAATCAGAGGGTGTTTCATGTAACGAGATAATAGACAAAAATATTGGGTTCCGAATTAGAAAAGGTGGTGTATTTCCATTTAAACTCCTGGACAGTTCTCTGATCCAGGAGCTATATTTTTTCTTAGTAGACTTCCATATACAATTGACTAGTATTTTCTAACTAGGCATATTGTATGTGAAGATGAGTAAAAGTAGAAGAAAAAACATAAGGGAGTTTTTAGTAGGGAACCATGACCATGGAAAGCAAAAGATAAAACTGGAACCTCAGATGCAAGGTTTTTCTTAACTTCAAGATTTTACGTTTGATCTTTTTGTTCAGAGTCTTTGGACACATTAGTTACCGTTCAGATTGGGAACTTGTGAAGGTGGACTTCAGGCCATCCTTCCCCAGGGAGTGTACTGATGATGACTATGAATCCTGGGATCTCACAAATCTACAGGTATGCACTGTTAAATGCCATAACTTTTATGTATCTGAAAGATTCATGTACGGCTGTGTGCTAGGAAAATATTTTCTAATAGAATTTGGATGACACTTCACAAGCTTTAATCTCCTTAGGCTGGTATTTTGTTGATGTTAAAATTGTTTAAAAAGGGGGAGGATTTTGTGTTCCCCTTAGTTGTGTGAACTGTATTCTGGGAAAAGTGGAAATATATGTGGTGGTCTGCCATAATAATAGGTGGTCCTAATGGATTACAAACCATTACCATAAACTAAAATCTGTATTATTGATTGAAGCAATTTCAACATGTAGTCATATGTTCTGCCAACTTCTTGACCACATGCTGTATTCATATATAAATTGCCACATGTAAAGTCCATTCCAGACATAATTTAGGATCTCAGTAGACTGATCCTGTAATAGAGTCCAGTTATTTGGGGCAATACCATTTCTGCAGAAATGCATTAAGTTTGTGCTTATCCTGGTGCTCTGGCCAATTCCATTTTGGGGAAGCTACATTCTCTATGTAATGTATTGATTAAACAGACTAATGTGAGGAGTTTTGTGTTAAATAGGAATTAGTTATATTTATTCCTACTCATTCTAATTATTGTGTTTGTTTCTTCCTAAATATTTGTTCTCTTGCTCTCTGCATGTTTCTTTTTCTTTTTTCTTGTTTCTTTTTTGTATACTGCTTTGTGTTAGTACAGTTCTCCAACTTTCACTTGTTTCTCATGCATATTTTTATTGTTCTTCTTTGAAAATGCTGTGTATTTTGAAAAGATGTAATACACGACTGAGCCTAAACAATAACATTTTCTTGGGATATTGACATTTAAATGTCTTTCAGAAAATAAAAGCTACTAAAATGACTCTGATAGAGCACTTACAGCAGCCCTATTACAAGTAGAGTGTTAGATTTAGATGGTCTTAATTCTACCTGTGAACATGTGCCTGGTGCTTCCTGTTGACTGCCTACACAAGATATGGTCATTTAGATAAAACTTCAGCCATCCGAATCAAGACTGATTTTTTTAAATGCACTTTTATATGCTTGTGCCTGGATTATGCACACATGAAACATGGGTTAAACTGCACTTGAATTTTCATGCATATCTTTGGATTTGTGCCCGGAAATATGGTGTATGTTACAACCCTGTAATGTCCCAGTAATGGATGTGAAAGCTTTGTATACTTACACATTTGAATTGAATTGAATTGTGTTGTTGTTTTTTTTTGTTTTGTTTTGTTTTTGTTTTTTACTTCTTAGAGTCTGTTATCCTACAGTCTCAAGTTCCAAATACATTGATCACATTTTTATAGTCTCCTCATAGATAGTTTGCTGTAGATTGCTCTAGAAATTGATGACTTGATACCAGTGTCCAGTCTTGGCAATAAGACCAGCCTTTCTCATGACACTTAAGATCACACCTGCATGGTGTAGGTTATTCTGTGCAGTAAGTCTGGTGCTTTGATGTCCAGGGCGATCGATGCATCATGGGTCAGCAGAGGAGCTTTCGGAAGAGGAAAATTTCATCATGGTGCATTAAAGGGAGAAGTTTCACGTCAGCTCTCACATCCAAAGTCTGTGAATGCACGAGCTCTGATTTCTTATGGTGAGTCTGCCTGTGGACCTTCAGATTTACCACTAGAGAAATGTTACATATAGTTTGAGGGGTTTATTTTCCTCCTTTTGCACCTCCCCCTGCATAGCTGTGTGAAAACAACCAAGAAACAATGCAAAACATAGAATAACAGGGTGCTTTTGCATCTGCTTTTGTTTAAAAACGTTGCCATGCTTTAAGTATTTGTCTCATGAATCCTGATGTTTCTGTCTGTTGATCAAGACTTCAAAATGACGATTGGATTGATTTGTAGGGCAAGCAAACCTGTTCCACTTGCAAATTAAGCAAACAACAGAAGAAATGTGTTGGTCCGCGTGGCAAGGAATACCTTTTAAAAATCTAAGCTACCAAGAGAGTTAATTTTTCAGAACTGACAAAGTAATTGCAACCAGTTTTGCCCCCATGGGTACACAACTCCTGTTATACAACTACAATTAAAACAGAACTACCTTCATAAAGTTATGTGTCCAACTATCAGGAGATAATATTAAACAAATCTCCCTTGCTGTGAAAGTAATCTCATCTATCTCAAATTAGATTAGTGAATAAAGTGGGAATAGTAATGTGTTTGGTGTTGATGTTTTTCAGTGATTATGGATTTGAGCGCTCTGCACCTCTAAAGTCACAGTCTAGCAAGTGTTTTGCTGACTTTTGGTTTAACCCAGAAGCACCTCCTGAAGACTGTGTGCTGGGGCAGGCATACACCAGCAGCACTGGGTAAGTTGATTTTGTATTTGACTGGCTTGCAAGAGTGCAGGCTTCCACAGTGGAGGAGTGGTGTTATGGAAAAGTAAATAGCACAAACTGAAAATAAAATAAAATAAAATAAAATAAAAAAATGCAAGTGGTAAACTGCACTGGCTGACTTATAGCTTATGCAGAAGCTTCCTACAGACTAATGAAAGATAAATGTTACTTTATACATTCGCAGCAGCTCAAAAACTAATTTGAGAAGAGGGGGAGCTTTCTTGTTCCTTTTCTTTTTTTTTTTCCTAGTAACTGCAGGGACAGCTAATAAGCATTGCTATACTTCTGATACAAATGCCCATTTAAACCTTTTTCTTTTAGCCCCCAGACCAATTTTCAGGCTGAATCCAATTAATTTACTCCAAGGAATAAGTAACATCTCACAGAACTTTCCACTGTCCCTCACGTCCATAGGGATAAGGAGCTCTACAGAGAACGGATTATTTTCATGACCATATGGGACACTCAGAATCAAAGAAAAGCTTTAGTAACTGTAAACAATATCACACAGAATGTACACTACAATGTATTCTGACGTCTGTGCTGAGAATAACTTGCAGCTGGCATCTATTCTGGCTTATCATAACATCATCTCTGTCGGTTGTGGAGATGAGAACCAAATGATGAAATGTCAAATCTGGCAATAGAATCATGGTCTCTGTGTATATTTGCCTTACTGAGGAAAATGATGCCTTTTGGGTTGTGGCTGACAGCTGCGATATGCAGAGTTTGAATTCAGAAGAGTGAAATCTGACTCCAGTTTTAAAGGATGTTTAAAAAATAAGGTACCTGAGTGAAACTGATCTGTAAATACTTACTGTACACTTCCAAGTTTTTCTTTATTAACTCCTAAAAGGCATTAGCTTTTTACCCTTTTATATTGTTTTGTGAAATAAATGCTGCAAGTGTTCAAAGAAATGCGTAGATTTGAGAGGAGTAGATAAGCATAGATAAGAAATTACTTTGACATGTTTCTTGGTTTAATTTCTTCCCGATCTTTGGGATTTTAACCAACCACATGTAATGCACAAGTTAGGGATAGGATAGAGGCCTGAGTCTGACAATAAATTTGAACAGAAAAACACTGGAGCCAAGATCTCTTGAGCACTGAAGACTGATGAGAGCTAGGAAGGGGCATGGCAGAGAGGACAGGAGAATACTCTGTTGACAGCAAATCAACAGAGGCATGGCCAATAGATCGAGGGAGAGAATTGTCCCCTTCTACTGTGCCCTTGTGAGGTCCCACTTGGAGTGCTGCATCCAGATATGGGGCCCCCAGCACACGAAAAGGTGTGGACCTGTTAAAGCATAGAGTAGGTCCAGAGAAGGGCCCTGAAGCTGAAGTGCCTCGCCTATGAAGAAAGGCTGAGAGATCTGGGGATGTTCAGCCTGGAGAAAAGAAGGCTTCAGGGAGACCTCATTGCACCCTTTTAGTATTTAAAGGAGGTTTATAGGAGAGATGGAGAACAACTTTTTACATGGATACATAGTGATAGGATAAAGGGGAAAGATTTTAAACTAAAAGAGAGGAGATTTAGATTATAGATTAGGAGGAAATTCTTCACTCAGAAGGTGGTGAGGCACTGGAACAGGTTGCCCTGTTGCTTCAGAGAAGCTGTGGATGCCACATCCCTGGAGGTGTTCAAGGCCAGGCTGGATGGGTGGGTCCCTGGGCAACCTCATCTAGTGGGTGGCATCCCTGCCCATGGCAGGGACTTATAACTAGATGGTCTTTAAGGTCCCTTCCAATCTGAGCCATTCTGTGATTCTATGATCTTGGACGGCTGATCACGTATGTTTCTAAATCTGAAAGGATAGACTCTTCCATTGCATACAAATGAAATCTTGATCATGCTTCACTCTGTTTTTTCAACAGCTTTCACTCAGTAGAGCCATGTCCCCGAGAATTTTTTTGCATCGCAAGTTGTTTTTTTATCATCTGCAATCTTGTCTGTTAATGAACCCAAGCAATATTCATTAGCTACTGCCACATTCGGTGCTTCTGATGGTGTTCTGCTCACCTCCAATTCACTGTGCTCGCTGCTTACTGTTTTTGCAGGTACAGGAAAGTTGTTTCTAATGTGTGTGAAGGTGGCATAGACCTACAGCAGAACTTAGCACAGCATATGTGTCCACTGATTGCTCCCAAGGGACTTCAGATCAGCATCAGAGGAGAAAGCCTGGCTGTTAAGCCTGGGGAAGACATCACCTTCATTGTCAGACAAGAGCAGGTAGTAATGAACATTGGCTTTATGAAAGTTTCCTTGCTATTTTTAGGGTTTATTTCTCTCCTACCTGCTTTACTGCTGAATGAGATTAATTTGTGCTTGAGACAAAGATGAATGACTTTCTAAATATTGAAACTTCTGTTTCCAAGTGAATCAGGCAATCCTGTAAACTCAGTGAACCACAAAGTTTTGCCCAGAGAAGGGGATTTGTCTCCTCAGCAGCATGTTCAGACATTATTCCTTAAAGGCATCAGCTTCTTGGAAAATCAAAGAAACTAAATTACCAAAATCTTCTTGAACTGAAAATTTCATCTGCTATATCAGAGAAGAACAGAAATGCAGAGAACCTTTAATATTTTGGCTTAAGTGCTTTTGAGAATCTGCCTTTCAGTAAGGAATCAGGCAAAGCTGTACAGAAATCAGCAAATAGCACAACATAAATACATTTATTATGTATTAGTTATGTTGACAAAGGTCTGTGCCTCTCCCTCCCCCCCTCCCCCTCCGCTTTTTTTTTCTTTTTATTGAAAGAGACAATGCCCTGATGCCCTGAGGCCCTGACTAAAGGCAAGGAGTAACTTTCAGATGTGGTGTTCGCCCTGGATATGTTTTTTAATACTTGTGGGTTTTGTTTTTGTTTTTTTGTATTAGATTCTAACTGTTACGCTCAGGTTACAGGAGTATTTCTTGCCTAACCCCAACTATTTGTAAAATTTCACATATTTTGGCAAATTTGTGTAATATAAGTCAAGCACTTGGGATTTATTTCTCTGAGAGAATCAGGAGAGTTATGTGCAGGATACAGTGCTGCCTAACCCATCACAGGTTGTGGTTCCAAAAGCTTGCAGAGCAGTAACAGTTGCATGGCAAGTTGTGCTTCCTTCTCTTTTCTCTAATTTGCTTTGAAGTGTTTACTGGAAGACTAAAGCATTCGGTTGTAATTTGGAATCTAATGATTTTGATTGACAATTTCACTTTTTTTTTTTTTTTCCCCAATGAAACGTTCTGAAGCTGTCATGAATCTCTGCTGGCAATAGGTAAAACTTAACACAACTGTTCAAAAGTCTTCCAAAGTAAGAGATCTTGAAGGGAATCCCGTGCTGTGTTTCCTCAAGCCTTTGCTCAGTACACAGAACTGGAATGGAGATTTAGAAGAAATGTAACAGTTTGCTGCCCCCTATGGTTAACAATATTTATACTCAAAAGTCCTGAGCATTGCTTAGGATTTAATACGTACAATAAAGTCTAATGAGAATTCTTAACAATTAGTGAGTTTAAAAAGAAACTACAGTAAGATAAACCAAAACATACCGCTTTCTCGCCCTGCTGTACAACATTAATTTGCTGTTTTATGTGAAGGCATGCTACTAGATGTGGGAATGCCAGGCACCAGGGAGTAAAGAAAGCAGGACATGTATGTTTGGGCAGTTTGCAAGTGACCTTAGAAATAATAATTTACTTTTATATTACATTTTATTTTATATTATATTATATATAAAATTTTTATATTATCAATTATTTCTTCCAAATTCTGTTGGCTATTTGTATGAATAATTAATGCATCAATCAAAACCCATCAATTTTGTGTGGAAATGAAATTCCTAATTCTGGTATTAGGGGAACTAGGCTGAATTTTCTCTATGTGATTATATTTTTTTGCCTGTCCACTGCTCTGTCTTTCCTGGTCAGGGAAGCAGAAATGTCCTGGTATTTTGGAGACAGCACTCCCACCTTTATACTAGGGAAGATATTAGAATAACATATCGAGAAACACTTATATCCACTGGCTTTTAACATTGGTTTCTGTTTCACCTGGAGAAAATATGCATGTATACTTGTTAGCATAAGAAAGAGCTAACAAGAACTCTGCAAATTAATGTCATCTAAATGGATTCCACTTACTGGCACATTGCTGGCAAGAAGACATCTCTTCTTGCTTTAAACTTTAATAATACATTATCTCCTCTGCTAAATTCTACCCATCTGTTGTCAAAATAAAGATGCTATTCGGAAAAAAAAAATAATTCACAGTGAAGAAGCTTTCAAGGTCCTTTGTATGTGTTGAAATATGGTGTTAGGTGTTTGATAACCCTACAGGTTCCTTATTATGAGTGTTCTTTTACATGATAAGCAATGCTCTTTCATCTGATAAAACATGGAAGAACCAAACTGCAAAATAATAAAAGGAGAAAGAATAGTCTGATTTCCTTCCCTTTGTAATGCAAGCATTTGAAAGTTTTAGACTTTGTTGCCTCCTTTGATTTTGCATTACTGTTGCTATTTGGTATTAGATTTTGATGTAAAACTATTTCAGAAAATGGCTTATGGGGAAGTGAAGTGTTTTTTGAATACTTCAGAAGATGTTGATCCTTCTCTGGTCTAATTGCCGTTCAGGTCACATTACTAGTGTATGTATTCCTTTCCTGGAGGCATTGATGATTTTTAAACCAACACTGTGTTTTTACAATATGAAGGATTTTCTATGAAGCCTGGTCCCACAACCTGTTTTAACTGCATGACTGTGATGGCAGTGTGCTGTGTGCAGGAAGGAGCATGTTGCTGAAGATAGAGGAGAAAAGGCAACTCATTAAGACAGTGTTGCTGCTCACAGCTAACATGAATTTTCCTTTGATTCCATCCATATGGTCAGTCCACGTAGCACAGGCCTGACTTCTCTCATGAGCAGCCACACCATGACAACATGAGTGATGGGCATATATTTGTCCTTTGACAACAGTATCAGTCATTGCAGTATTTTAGGCCTAAGTTTTGGAAGACAGTGTCATTTAAAGGAGCACTTAACGGAAGTGCAATGAATTGTAAATTATGTGAGATGCTTAACATGACAGAAGTATTTGGCTGGTCTTTTAAAGTCTTTACCAAACTCAGCTCAATGCTCTGCTTCATTAAACATGCATCTAATTTTTCAGTAGAGCATGCTAGTTCTAGACAAGCCGGGAGCTCTGTGTAATGCAGTACAACTCTGAAGAAGGTATCAGCTTGAATTCTGGAGGCCATAAAGTTGACACTTGGAGAGTATGGTTAGAAGGTGCTGTGAAGATGGTCTAGCCCACTTAATTTTGCTTTATAACTGCATATGCTAGAAGTTCACGGTCAATCAGTTACTATGAGCCACTGGATAAGCTGTAATTTGCAAACAAGAAGAGCATAACACAAGAATTTAGGGTTGTCTTGCACCATTATATTAATTAATGTCCAGATACACTAAGATAGGATTGATGGTTTCTGTGTCATACAACTGGGCTGAGTGGTCTAGAGTGTTTTGTTTTAAGGTAGTGCCTTACTGCAGAAAGTTAGCATACAGCATTTATTGCTCCTAAAATATTTGCAATGAGTTCAGTGGTTTTACTGTAGCTGCTGCAATTGAGTCAAAACATCTGGCTGAGGCTAGAAATACTGTGATTCAGGAAATGGTTAAAATAACGCATCTTGTCTATTTAGGTTCTGACCATTTTAAATATTTTTATATATTCTCCTTTTAGGGTGACATATTGAATACCAAGTACCAGGTAGATCTTGGTGATGGCTTTAAGGCAATATATGTGAACCTTACAATGACTGGAGAACCCATTCGTCACCGCTACGAGAATCCTGGGATTTATCGTGTCTTGGTGAAGGCTGAAAATGTTGCTGGGCACGATGAGGCTGTGGTGTTCATCCAAGTGAACCGTAAGTTACATTTTTATTTTTATTTTTACTCTTCTGCATACAAACCTTGTGACAACTATGAAGTAGTTAAGAATTACTAGTCACAATTAGGAAAAAATACATATTTTTCAATAACCTCATGCAATCTTCCATTGCTGTATGTTATTACTGTAGAGGCTTGTAAACATAATGTATAACAAGGTCAGAGTTAGTTTTATTTAGATTTAGAAGAAGGATGATGTATTAATATTTTAAATAGCGAGCATTCCTCAGTTCAAATCTCAGGTTTGAACCCTCTTCCTAACTCAAGACCCAATTGTCAGTCTTAGCAGCTAAAATTTAGCACTTCAAGCTATGTCTTTTTAGGAGATTTTAGGTGCTGTATGAATCAAGTGAACAGACATATTGAGAAAAGTATGATCTCTTGTACAATTTTAACAAAGTACAAGTTGATGGAAGGATCAAAATCTTAACATTTCTAAAAGTCAGGTTGCTTATTAAAGTCCTTGAATCTAGTTTTAGATCATTAATTTTCACAAAGTTTTAAAGTGTTACTTGAATTTAATTTCATATTGGCAGGCAGTATTACTTGACTTAAATCTGTCTCCCTCTCTTCTTAATTAAGATCTAAAAAAAAGCATTTAATAGATTCAGAAGAAAAGACTAGCATGACACAGGGAGTATCATGCACCAGCACAGGCTTAATGTACCTCAGTCACCTCATAATTGAAATGAAGAAGAAAACTCATAACTGGAACTGAATTTTCCTCTTACTTCAAGATTCAAGAAAGCCATTGCTTTGTCTGTTTTCAGATGTGTCAAAACTTCAGAAACAAGTAACATCAAAGGAAAGGATATATTCATTTTGTATTCTCCAGGTGTCTGTTTCCACTGGTGGGAACAGTGTCTTCCATCCTAATCCCAAAGCAACAGAAAGCAATGGAACCATATACAAGGCTGTGCACAAATCCTTGTGTTTTATGTCAGTCTTTCTGGTGGGATGCTGCTATATCTGCATTTTGCTCTTCAGAATCTGAGTCCAGCATTTCCAGTTGTGCTTTGATTAACAGATGGAGCCCAATCCATTAATGCTAATGTCGAATCTTCTATTAAGATCAAATGGAAATGGTCAAAATCTAATTCTCCATCTCTGTTTCATTATCTGTTTATTCATTGTTTTGTTTTGTTTTGTTTTGTTTTTTAAACATTTGACAACTCCAGAGAGCTCAGATAAATTTCTTAGTTTTACCTTTATTTTTTAGGAGTTTATGCATGTTGAGAAGTAGATTAAATACAGAAGTCTGTAACTAGAAGCACAGTTGGTAGATCTTTAAAAGCAATGAACACCAAAAACTATGTGTAACATCTTCTCTCCCTGGAGAATATCTTCTAATTGTTCAGAAGATGACAAATGGTAACAAGCCCTGATGGAAAGCTGAACAATTGCTTTCTCAAAATGTGGTTTTGATTTGACCTACATCTGGATAAACAGTAAAAATAAAAGATGTCAATTGTGTTTTATGCAGTGGTTTTACAAATTGCAGTAGCCTGAGGTATTTTCTCAAGAATAAAATGGCAGGGTCTTTAAGAAGAATTTGGTACTGAAGTACAGAGTCAGTGGAGTACTAAAAGCAGACTTGGTTATTTCTGAACTCATCTTGAGCTTCTCTGTGGATGTTGCAAATGATCCAGAAGATACATGGACGCATGTTACCCAGCATGCTTGAGTAAACACTTCACATGGGATTTACAGTGTTTATTTTTTAAAGTAAATTATGAGATTTGAGGAAACTAGTTGGAAAAAAATAATATGATATTTCTAAATTTTAGAGAAACAATAACAGCTGCTCAGGGCCAGTTTTTGTTGTGGAATGTCAAGAAAGCAGAAATGTCCAGAGTCCTTCTTTCACTCTATTTCCGTCTGATGTATTCACAGAGAAATTTTATGAGGGGCAAATGAAATATTTTTAAATCCCATGAAGTTCTGTTGGTATGAAATGCCATGGGGCATAATAATATAGGGCAAATATATAAAATTTGGCTTGTGATTTGTGTTTTCTGATCCTGATGACAAAATCTACAACTTGTTAATAAATTGTAAGATAAATTAGAACAAGTCTGATGTTATACATGTCAATAGATAACGCAGAATAAAAAGAACTCAGGAGGAAGTAGACATACATTTTCTTCTTCATGACATGAAACCAGTCACTATAGTGTGTGATTATGAAAGCTTGGTGATATATATATTTTGCAGGGGAGGGGATGGGTGGGAGTGGTAGTGGTAGAAAATGATATGGAAATGATATGACAGAAAGCCTGGAAAAATGCACTGAAATTATAGTTTGGTTAAATGGTTAAACAGAAATAATATAAGTCAACTTCATTCCTAATTATGAACATTAGAAAGTGCTATGAAGCTTGTTCAAATGCATGATATGACTGAGAAGAACAGGACTTGCAGTAATTATTAGCTCTTTCCTGTATAGAAATGGCAAACTCATGATTCAAGTGCCAAACAACTTCCCCTATAAACAAAATTTTGAAAAACAGTAATCTTCTTCAGGACCAAAGCCATATCTCAAAATGATCAGCTTCCTCTGTAAGAACGGAAATATATGGCAAAATCAAACAGTGATGCAGATTCTCTCCAGAATGTATTTTGCATCATCAGAAAGAAAACCTGTTTTCTAGGAGGAGAAGATTTAATGGAATTCCTACAGTTTCTGAATTTTCCTCAAGACACCAGCAACAGAATGAGCATCTTAATTCAGCTTTGGTAAAGAAGCTACTGAAGAAACCTTTTGTTTAAACATCCAGAATGAGTTGAACTTGAATTCATGTAGATAGTTAAAGAGTCCTCAGTGAAAATGCAGAATGAAAGTAGAGCCTTATGTTTGGATGAAGCAGCGCAAACTCAGGTTGAAGTGAGGTGGAAAAGTAGAATGTGCACAGTCTAAACAACTTGCTCTCTCAGAGAAATTCAATGCACTGACTGAATTGATTGAAAGTGAATGGAAAGTGACTTCAGTTAATGAAAGAGAGTAGGAGAAAGGCCTTAAACTAATGTTAATTATCTTTAAGTTTGAAATGATGAGATGAAAGACCTTGTGTGAATGAAAAGATACTTAAAGTAGAACAAAAATGGATGTATTAGTACTCACTTTGGGTAATTAATGCATTTTTTACTACACAGCATTTTTGTGTCCTGAACAGATCGTGCAGCTTAAGGTAGCTTAAGCATTTGTTGCAGGAAGAACGGCTGAAAACACGACAGACACTAGTATGGTCAGATCATGCTCTCCTTTATTACCCGAATAGCCTGACTTTTATAGCAAACTTAACAGGGGCGGATAGTGTCTCACACAAGATTACTGGTCAAAAGCACTCGGACAAACAACTGCAAGAAAACAACCCCACCTGCAAGAAAACAACCCCCTTGTGATTAGCAGTCACGTAGATCCCGTTCTTGAAGCCAGCTGCTGGCAACAATATTTTTCTAAATTCCTCAATTGGGCAATGTGGGAACACTGTCATGGGAACTTCTCATAGTCATCCTGGTAGCTTGGTTTGCTCAGCTGCAGCAAGTCATAGCCTCCTTGCTGTTTCAAAAATCCCTCAACAAGCATTTCTTAAGTTAAGAAAATCTAGTTGTAGCGTTATAATATATATAGAGAGAGAAATTATCACCAGATATTCTGAAAAATATACACTCAGAGACAAAGATATAATTTCAAAATTTCAATTGTGCTTCAAAGGAAAATATGCTATTAAGATGAATTTATCTGATTTTATCTTAATGATGTGTTTCTTATATAGAAACACAGAATGGTTTGGGTTGGAAGGGACCTTAAAGATCACTCAGTTCCAACCACACTGCCATGGGCAGGGACACCTTCCACCAGACCAGACTGCCCAAAGCCCCATCCAGCTTTGAACACCTCCAGGGATGGGGGCATCCACAGCTTCTCTGGGCAACCTGTTCCAGTGCCTCACAACCCTCTGAGTGAAGAATTTCCTCCTAACATCTAAACCAAACCTCCCCTCTTTTAGTTTGAAATGGTTCCCCTTGTCCTGTCATTATCTGCCTGAGCAAAAAGTTGTTCTCCATCTTTTTTATAAGCCCCCTTTAAGTATTGAAAAGCTGCAGTAAGGTCTCCCTGGAACATTCTCTCCTTCAGGCTGAACATCCCCAGATCTCTCAACCTTTCTTCATAGGAGAGGTGTTCCATCTCTCTTTATATACCTTTTATATAAATAATAATTCATACAGAATTTATAGAAAAAAATAATCCGAAAGGGACAAACATTCAAAAAGCACGCTTAGTGCACAGAGGTTATCTGTCTTGATTTGCAAATAAATGCTCCCCTGGTGTCCCCATTTCTTTTAAAGCAGGCATTAATGAGAGCTTATGTGTGGTGAGCCTAACAGCTGATATTTTATAATGCAAATGAATACTCAGCAACATTTTTATTCAGTTTTCTGCTTTTCACTTTGCAGTTTGAAAGATTTGTTAGATTTCTATTCATTTGATCCTTTATTACTTAAAATAAAGCTGAGATTGCCTTTTTTATTTTTTATCTGGAATGTATGCATATGGTCTCTAAAATTGAACAGGCATCAAAAAAAGTACAACAAAAAGTACACCAAAAAAAGTACAACATAGAGGTGCATCTTTATGACCCATCACATTGCTCAACAATTTTGTTTTTCTCTCTTTATTTTTTTATAATTATTTTATTTTTGGTTGAAATCATCCAATTATGCCCATAGCTTTCAACACAGGCAGGAGAGAGAGAGAAAAATAATTTCAGGACCTTGTGTTGTACAGGTAATAAGCCTTTGGGAAAAAAAAAAAAAAAAAAAAGAAAAGGCATTAATAAATTGATGGATTCAATTGTATTTTAATGATGGTTCAATGATGTTTTGGGAACTTTGTTCAGCTCCACTGCAGGCTTTAAATTTAGAAGTGGTTCCAGTCATTGGCAGAAACCAGGAGGTGAATCTGACAGCCATCATATTGCCCAAGAATCCTAATTTGACAGTCTTCTACTGGTGGATAGGAAACAATCTTCAGGTACATGAATTGTTTTGGCTGAGATTATTTTCAATCTCTTTCCAGTAAAGATTGAGTGACACTTTATTTTAATGGAAATACTACCACGTTACATGACTTCTTTTAGACCATCTTTCATTCCAAATAGACACCTATATCCTGTGCAAGGAGTATCTAACATCCCTTGCTTTATCACATACTTTTAAGGTGTTCATTTCCATTTATTCCTATTTATGTGGAAATGGAAATTTCTCTTCTAAAACTTGTTTAAATTTCCAAACCATATTCATTTTGAAGGAAAAACAATTGTGTTTAATTACTTAATGGGGGGCAGGGGAAAACAACAACAACTTGTGGAAAGGTGCATTTGTGATCACGGCACTGGTGAATGATAAAACTTGGATTTATGCACTTCCATGTTGATTGTGTGAAGTTCTGAAAATCTAAATACTGCACAGAAATATATATATACATATATTCATTTTATACCTAAGTACTTTCTGGGAGCCCAAAACAGGGAGTCTAAACTAAACAGTGATATCAAAAATGGTGAGGATATCAAAAAAAAAGGGTATCAAAACAGTCAGAGCACTTAAACAATATACTGGTATTTATTTGGGAGTACAAAGTCTAGATACACATAGCCTAGAGCAATAAATAACCAAGTATTGCCATTGGGAATACTTGTCTAGTTGGGTTAATTTTTTTAAGGCAGTTCTTTCAATAACAGATACATAAAATATTTTCTTTATGAGGGAGACAAAGTATGACACAGGAATGATTTCAGATCAGTGAAGTGAACTTTTGTCTTGCATATGTGTGGTCTAACATAATCCTTGTCTGTATCTGTTCATTGTAACTGAGTTTACCATTGCCAGAATAGGCACTGCAGATTGATTTAGTCTTTTGGAGGGTTTTGTAATTCATACAGATGTGGTCAGGGAGCAGATTAACTCAGATCCACCTTGGAAGTTACAATAGACTGGTGCACTTCCATGGGTTGTGCTCTCATCTGACCGAAGTAATCCATTTGACCTTGGCTATACCCCATGTTTTTTGAGGCAAATGACTTGCTGCATGTGATCTTATAAAGATCTGTGAGCCTGACTCAAAATCTATTTGTTTCAGTGGGATCTGTATGAAAACCTAATACTCTACCAATTATTCTAACAGAAATATTTGCCCAGTCTGCCAGTTTTCAGCTTATAAAAGATCCATATGGGGAAAGAAACAGTCTTAGAAAATTATAATCAAGTAATTTGATAAAATGTTGATCATCAGTCTAAGAAGTAATTGGTCTGAAACCTTCTCTGCTGATATTTTTAGTGGCTCTCTGATCAGATGCTATTATGGTTGTTGAAATTCTATTTTCAACTTTTCTTTGTTTTTAAAGCCACTTCTTACATTGGACAATTTTCTGGTAACGAAGTTTGCTGTGACAGGTGATGTCAGAGTGACAGTGCAAGCTTCCTGCGGGAACTCCATGCTTCAGGATTCAAAAGTTGTCCATGTTTTTGGTAAGACTTTACTCATTTATTTATTTATTTATTTATTTTCACATGTACATGTTTTTATATAACTTTTAAACCAGTCCTGGCAGAACTGAACCTGTTGAACAATTATATGTAATGCCACATTTAATTCCTAAAGTTAGAGGGTTAAAGTGTCACTTGGTAACTTCATGAAGTTGAGTAGTGTGATTGTATGGAAGGGTTTCATTTGAAACCTTGTCTTTCCTTTGCGTATTGTAAAAGATGCTGTGCTTTCCAAATGCTATATGTGGCAATAACATTCAAATAGTATTTTGGCCTGTGACTAAAGAGTTAGTTAGAATTTCTAAATGCAACAGTTTATATATCTCTGGAAAAAAAAAAAAAAAAGCTCTCAGTATTAGTAACAATATGAAATATTTGATTTCTATGACAATATACCACCATTCCTTTGATGTTTATCTGAAATATTTAATCAAGTGTTGCTATTTAATCAAGTGTTGTTTTGTTGTAAATATTGAACTCTTCAATATAAGAAGCTGAACTTCAGCTCATGTTTCACGTTGTGGCCCGGTGTGATTTCTGCATTGTATAATATGGTGACAAGGCATAATGTACTGTGAAAAATGTAGTGCTGACAAATTATTTACATTTGAATTTGTGCTGTCACATGTGAGAATTGTGATATGCAAAAAAAAAAAAAAATTTCTTTAATACAGAACTAAAAGCTTTCAGATATCATGAAATACACAAAATGAGACATATCTCTTATCTGAACAGTGAAAGAAGGTTGTTTTGCTTTTAGTATACTTTTTTAAGTAAAGATGAAAACCACACTCATGCTAAACAGAGCTTTTATAAACCTTCTCCTTTCTTGAGATAAATTGATTTAATATTTATGCTATCAATTAAAAGTGCATCCACTTTTTTTAGAAAGTATATGCCCTCTTAGTGAGACGAAATCAATGTCTTTGGCTTTCTAACATTGCTTCTGTTGTTCACGTTGGCAAATTCTGATCCAAAGAGCAAGAAAGTACTGATGGAAAATACATGAAAGAAAGTACATGATGGAAATAAAGAAAGCCTTGGAAAAGAAAAACACAATCATAATAAAACACAATACAACTCTGTCCAAACTGTTTGAGAGGGCACGTTTGAGTCATGCCTGCATTCAAAATGATCTCTTTCTCTGCTTTGCATTAAAAAAGGTGTTCTTCCAAGGAGCCTGTAAGGAGAAAGAGTAGATTTTAGAGACTCCTTACTGAGAAATAGCCCATTTCTAGTATTTCAGATATTTTGGACAGTATCCAGATAAATGTTGTTGGAGTATTTTATTTTTATTTTTTTTCATAGAGGACAGTAATTAGCATTTGGCATATCATTTTTGTAGTTATTTTTGTAGCTATTTTATGGAATATGCAAGGTATCCATTTTGCATGACAAACAGGAACATGTAATAGGCAAAAAACATATGTTTATGATTCAGTGACAATAGAATCCATTGGCAAATTCCCATTAAAAATAAAAGAAACCAACCATGTTTGTGTGGTGTATTGTCTTTTAAAAAATTTATTGGGAATGTTATGACCCCAGAAAATGAATGTAAATCTGCTTGGTTTATTTTTTTTTCTTACTGCTTTTTTTTTTTTTTTTTTTTTTTTTTTTTTAATCTTTAGGCACAAATTTGATGATGTTGATGAAAATACAGAAAGAAATTGAGTGCTTGACAGGAGTGTACTTTTGCTCCATGCTGTTGTAGACTGTAGGCTCCTTGGGGAAGGGTTTGTTGCATACTGCAGCACTGCATAGAAAATAGACGTTCTTTTTCATATATATATATATGTGTGTGTGTGTGTGTGTATACACACACATATATATATGAAAAAGAATGTCTATTTTCTATGTGTCTGTATATATATACACACACACAAATATATATAGATATATACATATAGATGTATAAATATGTATATATATGAATACATAAATATAAAAATATATACAAAATGCTTTTTGAAATCTATTTTTAATGGTTTGAAAACATTCCTTTTTGTCTTTCTAGATCATTTCCATGTTCTTCCTCTGAAGTTTACTAAGCACTTGGACATGTACAACCCCGACATACCAGAGTGGAGGGAAGACATAGGGCGGGTAGTAACACGACTTCTTGCAAAGGTGCTCTTTCAGATTGCTCGTAAATGTTCCCTCTCCAGTCGTAAACCTTGAAGGTTAAGTTAATGCCTTCTCATTTAGAAAAAAAAAGGACACAGAGCAAAATAATAAAATGAACCTCATGAGCCACATTTCAAACAAGTTTGAGCCTAATGTCACTTCTATGGGCAAGCTGTGGATAGTGATATTGTAACATACAAAAGTTTAGGTCTAACACAGCCTAATTGGCAATTAATGCTAAATATTGCTCTATGGGATTAGGAGTAGACATCATGGCAAATACTGCTGACTCCAAAACAGCAAGTATAGTTTAAATGTGATATATGTAGCATAAAGCAAAGGGTACTGTGTAATTTAAAGACATAGTCTTTGTGTAGAAAAAAAAGCAGAGAGACTTCACAGTGTCAGTTGTATAGTCAAAAATTAGGTAGAATGAACAGGCAAACAGTTGTTACAGCTGTGGGTTTTTTGATCATATTTGCAAAAGAAATGTGGACTGGGAGCAGTTGAATCCTGTAGATTAAATCAAGTACAAAGCCGTGCAACAGTTCTGTGTGATAAACGAAGATGACCACATAAAATCTGTGAGGTTTAGAGCTATACTCTTCAGATACACACGCTGCCAAAGCAGAGCATGCACATACAGACTTTTTGTGAGAACAATATCACTGAGTTGCAGGTTTATGATTTTTTTTAAAGTAGTTGTGTTTGAAATTGCTGGACTTTTCCTTGATTTGCAGTAGTGCACATCAAAATTTTCGAATTTTGACTTTATACAATTTCCTGCTTTTTTTTTTTAAGCTTCACATCAAATGTCAAATTAAATTCCCATTTACAAACTTCCAAAAACCAGTTTCAGTCTAACAAATATTTTACCACCTTATAAAATTGCCCTTGCGTTTTAGTTAGTAAATCATTTGCAAAAGAATATGGACCATTTAATGCAATTTCAGTATCTGTTCCAAGAAAGGCAATGGGAAATGCCCTGAATGTTGTCATTTCAGATTTTGTGACTGTTACATAACACATGGAGGAATTTGGGTCAGAAAACAAAATTTTCACAAACTACTTTAATAAGGGATGGATTTGACTTTCAGTGTGGGGTGCACATATTCATACCAATCTCAGGAACTGAGCCTAGGTGCTTTTAATCTCAACCTGAGAGATTGTTCTCTGTCCCTTAAACGCAGAAGGAAAAGTAGCCTCCTTAAGCTGACGTTGGCTGTAATGTCTATTCTAAGTCTGCTAGGTGTCTGAACAGCTGACAAAAGATCCTAGATCGCTTAGGAATTATTTTTAAAGTTACCCTAAAAATTCAAATCCATTGCAGAGTTTTGCTAAAACTGCATACCACTTCATTTTGCTTCTTTCCATGATGCCACTAAATCTTTTTCAATATGATAACAATGCGTAGTTCTTCTCATCTTCAAAGAGCCGCTCACATTTCAGTTAATTAATGTTTGGCTTTGTTCATGTTTTAGCTGCTGGTGGAATCCACTCTAAATGCTAGGGATCTGAAGACTAAAGAATGAAAGACCCATGAGGAATTGCTTGTGTATTTTATATAAAATACAAAGCACCCTGTTCTATAATTTGCCATATACCTTTGTCTTCACAGGAAACCAATATACCTGAAGAAACCCTTATGACAGTAGTGAAACCTGGTCTGCCTACAACTGCTGACTTGCATGTGCTGCTACCAGCAAACCAGCCTAAAAGGAAGCGAAGTGTAACTAGTGATAAGGTAACCAGAGCAATGTATGTCTGGTTAAGCTAATTTTTATCGTATTTTTAAATTACTGGCTGTACTTTCATTGTCTTTATGTGGAATTAAAAGTTTCTCCCTGACTGTGTAAAGATCTCACTCCCTCCTGACAAGAGACATTTAAAAGCTGGCAACAAGTATGACTTCTGTGTATGGCAGTGTTTAGACCACCTTCCTATATTAAGGAATAAGTCCTACCATGTGAGAAGACAGAGGAGAAGAAATTATTATTATTCAACTAAATGCTAACCCACAATAAACCGTTCTTCCCTCTTAATGCTTTTTCAGACATACAGCATTTTCACAGTAGGCCATGTTCTTCTCCACAGCATAATCTAGTGATATTTCTGTATTTCTCAAGAATAAATAATATTGATCTGTTTTTTAAACAGAAACAACAGCAATAGCATGACAGTCCGTGAAGATCAAGTAGAACAAAGAGTGTGTTCAGAACACTGATGTTTCTAAAGAGGAAGAAACTTTTTTCACTTCTTCAAAAGCAAATTAGATTTCAGGCCCAACAGAAACAGAACCTTAACAATAGACCTGTAATAGTTGACCTAAAGAGCATCAAACAGGTAGTTTCTGTCTTTTCTTTATGAGATCCTTTTCAATTGCCAAGAAACAAATGAAAATCAGAAATTAGTCCGTTGTCATCATTCCCCCCTCCACTCCCCCCCGCCCCCTTCTAAACCATATCCATTCCATAATACATGTAAAAAGTATATGCCAGTAGAAAATCAGAATACTATTTGGTCTTTTTTTCTAAATTACTATTTATGATACTTGTCCTTTTGCTGTGATAGAAAAGGAACAGATCCCAACTCTGTGCCAGTATCTTGCAGCTCAAGTCCTGGCAGCTATGAAGAATCACAGTGTAAAGTATTGTTAATTTTGAATGGTATTTTACTACTCTTTGAGGCAACGTCACAGTATTCAAAGAGCTGGAGAAGTAGATAAGACAAATCTCATCGTATTAACACAATAGCAATAGAGTGTTTATGATACTGATGGGGTACACTTTGGAAGATCCAAAGGGGTAAACTGACATTGTCCAAGTACTTGAACAGGTGTTTTGCACAGAGAGTAGTGTGAAATATGCAGAGAGCGGCATGAATAAACAGAATATTCCCCCTGTGGTAACCCTAAATTCTTACTGTTCTCACTTTGTAATCATAGTGGGAATTCCTGGGAGTCTACAATCCTGATTATATTGCAGGAAACAGTTAATTCTAATAGGTTGTTTCCTTAGTAATGAGCTATTCATGAACTATGGCTTTTGGCCAGGTGAGTATTACCTCTTCAAAATTACTTGCGTCTTTCTACTTCTTTAGGAGGCAAGGTGCAGCTTCTAAAGGAAATTATTTCTCTTTATTCCAAATGTATATAGAATGGATCCCTCTAATAATTTAAACAAACTATGGTGATTGATTCTTGGGTTCTGCAAACATTTTACATCAGTGAAAAATGTTATGTATTTTAGTTCCCTTTAAATCTCTACTGTTACATTAGCACTGTTCTTCAAGGCACCTTGAAGAATATTATCGAATATAATCAACGCTACATTTTTATTTATTTATTTATCTTCTATGTGAAATACCCTGTGAGTTACTCTATAGCATAAAGAAGAACAATCATATGTTGCAAGTTATTTGTGAAAACTTCTGTTGTTTAGGTGGGCTACGGAGATATTACACTAGTTTAGGAGAACACACTTCCTGTAATAAGTATTCTCCCAGAAAGACCCTGCAAAGGTTTTCTGAAACTAGAGTGGAAAGGTGAAAGAAAGTGTAAAACCTGGAGAAGAATGGTACATTTCTGACACTTAGGTTAGACCGGGTCACGCGAATGGTGCCTGGGAATTACTTGTATGACAATACCAAATATGGTTCAACCTGCATTTGGTTGGAGCCGGAACAAAGAAAGATAGGAGCAATTACAGTCACCTATGCTATCCAGTGATAAAAAATCAGCTACGCTCGTATTGCATCTCAACTCTTTGGCTGTTTTATAGAGTACAAAGCTTTAGAGTCAATCATCTAGTGCCAGGTGCAAAGGGACACTCCTTTAGCTGTGGATATGTGTATATAAATTTGTTGATTTAGAATTGAATGTCATTATTTTTGGGGAATATGTATTGTGTCTGTGGTGAATCATGAAAAATCCTGAAAATATATACCCTATGTAAACTCAGAAGCCTGAACTATTTAAATCAACAGTTAAAGACTCATGGTGTTACATGCTTAAATATGAAATAAGAGAATTTTGAGGGTCTTCATCATATTCCTTTTCTCATGTTTTACTGAAAGGATGTGCTCTGTCACACTGCTAGTGACAGTTTTCAAACTCAGTCCTGTGGCGTTCCTGTCAGAATTCATCAACTCAGAATGTTTCCTGCATGTTTGATGGGAGTGCCCCTGAAATCCTTATTTTAGACATAGTTATGTAGTTTCTTCCCTTAGAAATAAGCTATTTGTTCCTGGTAGACAACCTTTTAGAGTTGGGATACTACGTGTGATTTCAGAAGGATTGTTAAAGACAACTTCTAGATCAGGCAGAAAGCAAATATTTGCTGGAGCTTGTGGTGGCCTTTTACAAGGCATGTTGTGATGTGATGTTATTTATTAAGTTTATTAGCAATCTAGATAAGATGTCAGTACTTATAGAAGTAGCCATTGACATAAAGATTGTAAATAAGTTGGCAGGACAGTAGTAGGAGCCCCTTGGATAATTCTGTCATTTGGTTGCATTTAGGCAAAAGCCCTTTTTCAAATTTATGCATGTAGAAATAACAGCTGAGGGTGTGAGGGTGATTTTGCCTGGTTTTAAGAACACAGCAATTTCAGAAGTGCTTCATTTATATAATTGCCTTTAGAGAAAGATTTGGTTGTTTTATTTATGCACATCTATTACACGTCTAATGGTGGTATAAATCCAGTTGAGTCAATTAAAGAGCATTTAAACTAAAGCCTGGGAAGCAGTGACTCCGAGGAAAATTTAGGATTGTATCTAGACAAACTACTGTATGAAAATTCCCACTGAGTTGTTTTGACAAAACAGGTGATTCAGATCCCCAGGTGTGTAACCAAATGAGTGAGTTTGAATAGTGAAGTTATTTCTGCATTCTTATATAGGATTGTTTGTTTTCAAATTTTATGATTGGAAAGGATGTAGGAAAAGAAGATAAAAAATCAAATGCCATTGTAAGAACTTTAAGAGCTCTAAACACTGGGTTATTTTTTTTTATTTTTTCTTTAAGTTAAAAGTAGCATCACTGTGCTCAAAACATACCACAGGGAATCAATCAAACCAAAACCATCAGGGCTGAAACAAACATCAATCTAACAGTGAAAGACATATGCCAGAATCTTTGGATGGATTCACGTGGAGTTCAGATCTTTGACCTGTGGAAGTGTAGTTTACATAGACCTAGGTGGAAATGTAGGGGTGGGGTGAGAAATAATAAACAAGTTTTAGGTGCTTGAGCAAAAAAACAAACAAACAAACAAAAAAACAGAGCAAATATTGGATTCCTCAAATACCTGCCAGGAAAATATGACATTTTCAAAGGTAAATTACAGGGCTTAGTAACTGTGTTTACTGGATGAAAGTTAGATTAGCCTAAAGCAGTGTTCCCTCTCACCTTGTATCCCGCAAATGTGATTGAGCCTGAACTGACTAAGTAACTATTTCAATGGTGTCAGTATCACTTTAAAGTCTGCTAATCAATATAGTTTTCATATTCATTCTCTTTTCAGACACTGGGTAAAAAGATAAATACTGAAGAGCTATCTGGAGTAATTTTCCTGTAAAATAACTGAGGCCACGCTCATGTCATCCTTAGGTTAAGTCATTCCTTCACCAAAAAAAAATTTAAAAAAATCTAATAAAGTCAATGAAATGACTTCGGAAGTTAGATATTCCTCAATAAGAGCAAGAATATATGGATCTGAACTTTCGTGAAGCCTCTTCATAATCTGAGAAAGACTGCAGGGATTTTTGTGTGTTGTGCTGCAAAGGCTTGTAAAAGATGAGCACCGTAATTGATAATGTCATAAAAGGAGGTTCTTGTGAAGGTTTTGTGAATATGAAGCATATTTCTAATTTGGCATACTGTGGGAAATCATACCTTAAATTATAAGGCATAGAGTATTAAACTAGCTTTGATCTTTTAGATGATTGCCTGTGTTGAAGACAGAGGGAAGTAGAAGGGAAAATTCAGCCAGTTTTTCATCTGGAGTTAGGATATGATGGTATATTTAATGGTTCTGCTCCATAAAAACGTAAGTGACCATATATTAGTGTACTCTGTCCAATGGAGAAAAATAGAAGGAATCCTTATTTTTTTCCACATGGACGGGTGTATATATTTCTATAGAATATTGTTAAAAATTAGATACAAATGGAATCCATCCAATTGTAGCAAAAGAGATGAGTTAAATTACAACACGCAGTTCATTATCAAGTAACAGTTACATTTCATAGTAAAAAAAAATCTAAAGTGACGTTGCAGATTGACTTCTGATAGGGTTAGGAAAATGGATAGAGTTTTTAATATGGCTTATGCATAGTCTGAGTTATGACTGAGATAAACCCAACAGTGCATGCATATATAACATGTTGTCTGTCACATACGCGGTAAACCTAAAGGGTTTAGTAAGCAGAAAGATTTGGCTATAAGGATTTGATATTTTCAGCATTTACAGCTTGTGGAGTTTTACATGATTTTTAACTATGGAATTTCTTTAAGATTTCAGCTCATCGATGACAAGTGCTTTCTGAATTTCTCACTACAATGAACCAGGGGCTGTCCTATTCAGAGCATTGTCTCTCAAAGTAGAACTGAGTAAAAGATGTCTGAGACATTCTCTCTATTGTGTTTTCAGAGAATAGCAACTATAAAGCAGGCCTTGAATGCACACAACATCAGTTTCTTTCTGAGGGGAGGATATTGGGTCTTGGTGACCTTAGCGGACTCCGATTCAGGTAAATACATATCAACAAAGCTCCTGACTGACCAGCTTCTGGATGCCTATTAGAGCTCTGATAGGTGAAGGAGAAAGTTTCTGTAACAGTATATGTATGTGTACATTTATATACATACACAAGTACATATATTTACTTGGGATGTATAGCTACACACATGTTTATATACGTATATAAATATATATTTATATATATATATACATACACATGTATGCGTGTATATATTTTTTTACTTGGTACTTGTGAATAACCATCGCCACCAAATACATGCTTTTTACATAATTCTATTTTGTCATATATCATGATTTGTATCACAAAATGTTCTTTTTCGCTCTTTTCTGTGTTGCCATGACATTAATACCTGTACTGTACAAAACAGTGCCATGAAGGAAGGCTTCAAAAAAAACACTTGTTGAACTAGAGGCACTTTGAACTAGCTACTGAGAAAGCAGATCTTCTGAAGCCACTCCTAACATAACTCCATGCATCTGTGACATGGCTTTGTATCTCTGCTTGGTGTCACACAGATGGATCCACAGATCTGAAGCTTGCTGTAGGGTCTCTGCAGAGAGACCCTGCTAATCCTATACTGAAACTAATCTATGTTTTCTCTGTTTAAAACAAGTTGAAACTTTTTTTTTGGAATATATTTTCTCCATCTCTAGATTACCTTTGTAGATAGGACCTGGTGAAGAGAGCGTGTGTGTATATGTGTGTGTGTATTTTGAACAGAGATGTGTTAAAATGATATTTTAACCAAAAAGTTCAAATTTCTTAAACTTCATATTAGAATGTCTCATAGATTTGGTGTATCGTCTCCAGTAACATATTCTTGTCTCTTACTTGAATGTGCTGTGGAACAAAAGTTTAGCTGACCACAATTTATGCTAATACTGATGTAAATGATACTATGTCAGCTCTCTCTAGAAGATAAAGTTTTTGTTACTTAGTCTCTTTAAAGTAGAATCATGCTGCAATTTCACTGTGGTACCATGTCTGATGTCATTAGAAAACATTCACTTAAAGGAATAACATCTATTTACCAGCTTAAAAGGCTAGAGTTGAACGAGTCCCACATACATTCCAGTGTTTACCACTATATGATCTTGATGAGCTTCTTTGTTGTTCAGAGCCTTAGTTTCTCCATCTGTGAAATTAATACAGCCTTGCTTTTGCATGACATTTACTTAGGGTATGTGGTATTTCCTATGATAACTTTGGATTCACAGAAAACAAAACAAGCAAACAAACAAACAAAAATAAACCCTGCTCAGTGTGCAAATAATTGCAAATAATTCAGGGTACTTTTTTTTTTTTTTTTTTCTCAAATTGGTTCTTTGTCTTTCAGTGGAAAGTCACCAATTAATTATGTGTTGTTGCCTTTTTGAAGAGGCTACAGATGGATTGGAGAGGTTACACAAGTAGGAACAAATGTTTTGACCTACCAATTAAATAGAAGAGAAACCCCAAGACTATGACTGATCTAAAAGAGGTCATGCTAAGCTGTTGTGCTGTTTTTTTTATTTCAGACTCTCAGAGGATTGGAGGAGGCAGTGGCTACTGGGCTATTGTGGTTCTCTTTGTTATCTGTCTAGTTGCAGTTGGGGCTTTCATCCTCTACAAGTTCAAAAGGCAAGTAAAACCTGAATCAACGACATATACATTTTGAGATTTAGACTTACCCACAGATCAGCAAAAAAAAAAAAAAAAAAAAAAAAAAAGTTTATTGTTTCAAAAGGAGACTGCAAGAAGTCCAGCACTTTGAAAATCATATTTGAAGCTCATCTGTGCTTCATTCTGAACTAACTTCAAGGAAATAGTAGCAATGTGGGAACTGTGGAGAGTTGTTCGCCTTGTCTAAATAATATCAAGAAAGAAAGATGAACTAAAATATTATTCCTATCTCATTACTCTTATCAGTTATGAATGAACTCCAGTTATCACAAACATCTGCAATGCACTTTGCTAAAAAATATATATATATATGTAATTTTATCAAAATTTACAACTCTGAGGAGTTTCTCTTTGCAAGCATAACGTTTTAAGTACTGGGACAATGCCACATAGAATAAGCGTTGGTAACAGATGAGCATTAATTTGACACTAGGATGTGTTAAGGGAAGAAATAATTATAGAGGTGGCCTTTATGTGAGACATATCCTCAAAATTGACAATGGTTACTGTTCCAGTCTTTGGCAGTCTGATAGATCTTTAGTCTACAACGGGTTTCAATCATAACTACTTGGATGCTGTGCAATTTAAAGAAGAATTTTGTTCTTTTTCATGAGTTTGTGTTATCACTGGCTATATTCTTAGCATTTTAATAACTTTGGAGCATCTAGAAGCTGTTGGGTTTGATAATATTGGAAAGAAGCCTTCATTATCATCAAATCTTTACTCAGGATTTCTATCAATTTGTCGTATTATTCAGGGTTGATTTTTATTTGAAATGAGCATAAGTTTATAGAGGTAGATGTGGCACCAAGTTTATAAGGACAATAAGCATAGAAAACATTTAAGTGAGAGTTTGTTTAGATGAGCGTTTTTAAGTCAATAGAGAAACCTTCTTTGCCAAGAATCTCTTCATTTTTTCCCTGCAGGACATAAGTTTCTTAGAGCCCATAGTGACTGATTACTCTAAAGGACAAAGCACATAATGCTGTATCAGACTGTCTATAACTGAATAAAAATCCATTTCCCTATTTTAGGTGCCTGCAGCAAGAAAAGGCATAAAAATGGTTGATGTGATGTAATTATAGTATTTCAGTAGCAATACATGGAGGATTTGTTGGTTGTAGCATCGAATCATAAAACTTGCGTGCGATATGTTTCGAAAGCAGTATGACTTATATCTTTTATTAGCTCTTAAATGAGAGCAATTAAATAACAGACACAATTACTGTGTGGCAAAAGAAGTATAAAATATTCAAGAAAGGAAGAAAAAAATTATTTTCCTTAAGTCCTTTCTAAAATGCCCAATGAACCATTGCTTTATAAATAGAGCTTTTATTAAGGAGGAAACTACAGTACCATTTGCAAATTGTGAGCTTTAATGTCTCGCACACTTCCATACATAATTTGTGAAAATCATTTGCATTTGAATTTTATGGGCGTTTAATTTTAGTGCAAGTGAGGAGAAATGTGAGATATATTCAGATGCTTCTCAGTAGCCTGAAAACTGCTGTTGGCATTGATGAATGACAATGCAGTAATATTCAGTTTGGATCTGTACCATATCTCTTTCTGAGATATTTGACAGAATTATTTTTAAATATTCCTGCTAAGCCTTTCCAAGATGTTTTTTTCTTTTTTTTTTTAGTTGCATCTTTTTCATACAGTTTGGTTTTCAAAGCATATTGAGTGCCTAATCAGTGCTCAGTCTGAAGAATCACTTTTTCTCTTTGTGCTTCCTGTGAACTCCTCTCCCACCCAAATATCTAATCCTATTAAAAAAAAAATATCTTAAAAAAGAAATCTTCCCTGTGTTTATGTGGACTTCCAATAAATTTCTGGATCCCCATGGAGTACTTTCTTGCAAGTGCAGTCCCTTTAAAGTCAGAACAGTGAGTTTGTAAGTTTACAAACTGGCCCCTAGGGACTGAGGTTATGAAACTGAGGTGTCCTTCATTAGTTATAAACCAACCTGAAATGCATGAAGGCTTGTCAATGTTAAGAATTCACTGAAAGAATGCCACATGCAACAAAAAATCTTCAAATTTATGAGATTATTTCAGCAGAATAACACTTTCTAAACCCTATGGTACCCTATGGTACCTCAGACAACACATGCAAATGTAAATATGAATTATTTCCACTTAGAAATTATAGGCATGTGTAAGGTTTTGAAGTGTTAATACTGTCCATCATTTTTGTATAATTCAGAAAATTATACAGGAGGACATGGAAGTGATTTGGTGTGGTGGTGCTTCCCTTTTGTTTGTGTAAGCTGATAGGCAAATACTTCCTTCAGAAAAGCATTAAAATTCCATTTATCTTCAGCCAGAGAAAGGTTTATTAATCTTAGTTTTGTCAATACAATACTTGGGTCTACAGGACTTGCAGTTGGCATTGGGGCACAGGCAAAGAAGAACATGACTTGGATTATTCTCTTTCTTTGCCAGCACAAAAAATAGTTCCTAATGTTAAATTTGGTATCTGGAAAGATTTACCTGGTAAAAGAGAAGTAAGTTTTAAATGATTAATGTTGATGGCTTCTAAAAAATAACTCTAGTCTGATTCCATGACTGAACAAAACTGGTTTTACATGGTTTGGGTGGAGGAAATTTTCAGTATAGTGGTAAGGAAAGAAAAGTAATACTCAGGCTGCTAAATCTCACTGTGGCTGTGACATGAGACAGTGCAGACAACAAGCGTGGATATTGGACAAGTCAATAATTTTCCTTTTCTTTATTTTACATTCTGGGTATGGAAATCACCAATCTGATGCCTCAAGCAAACAATGTGTTACAGTACTCACTAGCACACTTCAGTTGTTTAACTATCCAGGTAACAATGGACTACAGCTGCTTCTTTAGACCAGAACAATGTGAAGCAGATGGAAAATATTTTTGAGAAATCAGGTCAGTTTTTTTTTTTTTTTTTTGAGAAATCAGGTCAAAACACAGATCTGAGACCTGCATATTTTTTTTTCTGTATCATCGTATCTTTACTAAATTTGGTTCAGTAAAGAAAGACATTTTCCAATCCCTTTGAAACAATGTTTTTTTTTGTTTTGTTTTTGTTTTTGTTTTTGTTTTTGTGGGTTTCAACTCACAATCCAGAAAGGATTTCTTCATCATTTCAGAGAAAATTTCCCCAGTGGGGGGTCGTGGGCAACATTATAGAGAAAGCAAACAGCACTGTCTGCAGTAAGCAAAGCAGAGGAAAAGAAAATTATATTTTAGCCACATCAAAGCCACCATATAATCATTATGTTACTAGTAGAAGATGTGAAATCATCCTTTTCTTACTTTTTCACTTCTGTATAAAAACAAGGTATTAGATTAACCAAACCAGAGCAGATAAGAATTTTTCTGCTTAAGTGCCTTACTTGGTTAACAGTAAAACAAACAAACAAAAAAGATTCTTAAAAATAGTATGAAAATCTTCATCTTTTAATTTGTATGCAAACTACTGTCTGTATCCTAAAGCTGAATACTGTGTTTTCAGAAATGTCTCTGAGTCTACTTCAATCAAATTTATATAATTTCATGCATAATTCTTTATTTTTTTTTCTTGGGACTGTCAAGTGCCACTTTTGGTAAATGAACCCCCTCCTGGGCCATTTCCACAATGTGGAGCAGAACTCTGTTATCTTTCTGCCTCATTGACTTACTATCTCGTTTTCAGTCTCTGAAGAAAAGCTATCTTTTTTTCCCTACCTTGCTTATACTACTTTTATGTTCCATGAGAGCAAGTTTAGTCCCAATTCATGCCACTTAGTTATATACATATATATAAAGGCACTAATTTAATGATCTGTAATATTTCATAAAAACTTCCTCTGAAATCAAAGTAATAGCATGTATAAAAGATTTCCAAAATGAAAGAGGGAAGTAAATCAGAAGCATCTCAAAGCACAAAGAAGCCATTCATCTGAACATTAATCCAAACATAATAAAACCAACACCACAATAAAATATTCTGTTTAATGGATTATTGTTGTTGTTAGTTTTATTTAAGTTCCAAGAGCATGATGCATTATTCCATATCCTTTGCCATGTGAATATGTTCCTATTTTATATACTAAACAGAATCTTAATCGAGCCTCTGGAAAATGAGTGAAGCTGTGTAAAGGCCAATGAATATTGGCTCCACAAGGCGGGAATTGAAAGCCAAATAAACTAGAGAGTTTAAAGGAGTGGGAATCAATATCTCATCCCCCTCCTGCTGTTTCATACTGCTGAACATTTTTAAGTACAAACAGTTCCTGGTATGGACTGATTAGAATTTGTGAATGTAGAAAAACAATTATTTCCTAGAATATCTTCTAAAAGGTTTGGGACCTGGAGAGCTCAGTCAAAGCCATGTGCTGGGATTCTCATTAATAGTTCTGTGCAGAATTAAGTCTCCTGTTCATGTTTTTATGGTCGTCAAAGCAGGCATGAATATTTCTTCCTCCTCGTGGTTGAAATAAAATGCTACAGAGAAAACAATAGGAACTAAAAATGTAAACCATGGAGTGCTGTACAGCAGAGGTAATTGTCTCCAGTGATGGATGCAAAGCACATGCATTTTGCAGCTGAAGAATAAACCCCCAAAAGAAACCATTGCATAATCTTTTTCTCTGTTCTGATAAACGTGCTTTCAATTTTTGTATTGCTGATATAAATCTCTTGGGTCAAATTTCATGTCTTGTCATGTTTTCACAGTAGTCTTTTATGTAGACCCAAGCATTTCAGCTCTGCCTACTTCAAACACTTACAATGGACTCAACATAAATTGCTTCCTTAAGAAGAGCAAAACACATCAGGGTACGCACTTTTTTTTTTTTTTTTTTACGGAATAATTAGGGATAGCAGCTTCCTTCCTACATGTTAGAGCAGTGTGGAGCAACTGGAAAATTGCCAGAATTAGGCCCGTCTTTTGCAAGGATTCAGTATCCACATCCTGTTTCATTCTGCAGTGCGGTTGTCCCACGTAAACAGAACATCTGGCACATGTTAAAAAATGCTTCTTGAAAAGACTTGGACTGTCATTTTCTTGAGATTGGATAAATCTCTTCCTTGTAAAATTGAAGCAATATGAAACACATAGAAATCTCTATAATGTATCAGGTCAGATGGCCTTCACAAGACTTGTAATATTCCCCCTCCTCCCATCCATGCTCCATGAGATAAGATACTACACAGAGTACCTCAACTTTATACCTTCCCTTAAGGATCTGTGCTTAACAGGACCAGGTTCATGAGGTTTGAGTGAGAAATATCAGCTTATGTATTTTCTCCTTTTATCCATAACCCATAAAGGAGTGCTCTTAACGTCAAGAAGTTTAATGGTTGTAAACTTGCGAGGTTTCTTCATTCAGGCATGTTTAATAGTGTGTATTGGGATTATGGTGATCTAAGTAAGATTTACTGGATACAACAGTTGAAACCTCAGGATTTATACTAAAGGATGCACCCTGTTAACCTGGTTTCAGGCAGGTCCTTTGGCCTGTGAAAACAGACAGACAACAAGTAGGTTAGCAGCTCTCACTAAAGATCTGGAGTGCCATATGGGTTTGAGATGGATAACATCATTATTATGTCAAAAATATTTTGGTAATGCTATTGATGCTTCCAAATCTGTCAGAAGTACGTCTTTGAGAAGATTCCCCAATTTCTGTAGAAAGGTATGTGCTGCAAAGCTTTTCTTTTGGGTTTTGTTTCCCATAGATGTTTGATGATGGACTGAAAGGAAAGCAATTTGACAGGTTTGGTGCAGGTCTGATTGAGACAGATATTATTTTACACGTGACTAGTTTCATTAGCAGACACATTATAAACTGTCTGAAGTTACTGGCCCTAGAGAAAAAAATATCACAATTAATTACCTAATGCATTTGTTTTCGTAATGAGGAAGGAATGTCCCTCTCCATTTTAATGTGGCTTTTTTACTCCAGTTAATGGGAGGACAATGATGCAGGGCTTGGCAAAGTATGTTAGTGTTGGAGGAACCTTTGGACCTCCTGAAGCAGTCATACCAGCATAACATTGTGCTACCAGACCCTTTTCCCATCCTTGGGATTAGTTAGTGCCTGTGCTTTATTTACTCTATGCTCAGTGGGGTACAGAAAATAGTAAAACCAAACACATTTCTTTCTCTGTGCTGCTCGTAAATAATGGAATAAAATGCCTGATTTATAAATATACATGTATGTGTGTATGTGTGCATACACACACAGCTATAAAGATGTGTGTCTACATATTTAGATATATAGGATGCAGTTCATCAATAGGGAGGAGATAGATCCCTTTCACTCATGTTTCATTGTTTAACAATATCTTTTTTTTTCTGTAATTACTTGTGAAGCAATGAAAGCTGCTGTTCAAAATAGGATGCTGCAGTAACTTTTATCTCAAACTGATGCCACGTGGAACTGAACCTTTCTTCTGACATAACATTTAAACACAGGTCATCTCTGAAAGCCAAAAGAAAGCAGAGCAACTCATGTATTTATCCAGTTGTCATACTGCTGCCAGAATATGGAGCAGAAGTTGGCCATTTTTAGAGGGATACCTAAAAATTGCTGTCAGTTTTTCTGTCTTTGCCCTGTAGATAAAGGAGCAAAGCAGAAACCTCATCTTAACCTCAGCAGTTCAACCCCATTTTCCCTTTTTTCTTATTGTCTGCCCATTGCAACCATTTCTTTTGAGCACAGACTTCAACAGCCATGATCTGCTGTCATGCTGATCGAGCTGTCAAGCTGCTGCTTGCTATGTGGGACAAGGAGCTCACAACCTGCAGCTCCCTAATCAGAAGTGTCTGCTTGGTGAGTAGGAATGGATGCTGTTGTGTGCCCAGGCTGATTTCAGATGAACACAGCTGCAACAGAGGATATGACTCTCTAGAAATGTTTAAACCATGAGTTCTGCTACAAAAGTTAGAAACCCCTGATTTATCCCCTTTGATTTTACAAAGTCTAATTTAAGTAAATCTAGGTAAGAAAGCTTTACCATACTTACTTTAAAGCTTCCCAAGTTCAGCTATGGTGCTAATTGCCTGTTAGAGCTGATAAAGCTGTTTAATAACATGCTTTTTGTTTTTCTAGATTCATATCAGAACGAATAAGTTAAATGCTGTATTCCATGGAAAAAATGTTTAAATTGGCACTTCCCAGTAGTGCTTTATTGCTGCCTGCTTATCTCTACCGAACTAACCGTGCATAGAAGCACAACTTTCTTACTTTCCCTTACCAATGCTGGGTTGCTTCCTTACTCTACAGCCCTTTCTCCTGGACTCCTGGTGCATCACTCTCTTCTCCCTTCCCATTCCCTGTCTCCTGGATTTCTCCTGCTTCTTTCTCCTCAACTCTAATACATTATGAGAGTGCCATTGAATGCTACCACTGACCTTCAGTGTCAGCCCACCTGACCAGGGAGATGGGCTTGACTGATTGTAACCCAGCTTTAATCTGATGTCTGGTACCAGAAAAGAATTTCTGTTGGGCCTTATTATTGCTTTATTTAACAAAAATCACTTTTTGTGTGGTTTTATTTATTTATTTATTTTTATTTCTTATTTTATTTTTAATATAGTTTATTGTGTATCAGACTTAGCCAAGAAATCATCAATGCAGAATTCTTGAGCAGTTAAGGCAGTTAAATAAAACTCTCTTAGATTGTGAACACAAAATCAGGGATGGATATGATTGGTTCTATGACGTGATTCTGGTACTGTGTCAGTCTGCTGGAGCTCTGCTCTGGTGCCAGCATGTGTGTGGCACAAAGGACTTCCATCACAAAACTTTTTCTCCTTGTCCAATTTAGGAAACTGCCAGGCAGGAATGTCTATGCCCAGATGCACAATGAAAAAGAACAGGAGATGACAAGCCCTGTCAATCATAGTGAGGACACCCAGAACATCATCCAGGGTGAGGAGTTTATTGATGATGATCTGGACTCTCAAACGCTAGGTAACGCAAGAGGTAACTTCATTTTTAGTCTATAAATTTTCGTAAGTAATTGATTTTTTACTTGATATTCATTTTCATTTTAGGTTATTGTTTTGTTTTCTTTTTTCATTTTCTGCTCAGACTTGGGATGAAGCAAATAGTACACTACTGACAAAGGATTATCTCAATTATCTTCTTTTTGCTTGCTTGTAATGAAGGCTAATGTATGAATGACATGCTATGTAGAACACAGGTACAGAGACAATAGATTTTAATGTCAGGAGACTTGGATAATTTTTATAATTAGAGAAATTATATTTGGTAGAACAGGATATAATTGGTAGCATCTGAATTAATTCAAGAATCCCCTGAATTAGTGGAAAATCAAGAAGGCCAGAAAGGTTTTTACAGTCAATATATCCAAGATTTCAGATGAATTGTAACTATATTCATTGCTGTATTGGTCATTATATTCCAGTGGCATTTAAAGTTTTCATTATTAGCAACATTAAATTTATTCCTGTGTAAAAAATCTTATGAGTCTTCCCTATTTTAACTGTTAATTATTATATTATTATTATAGCTAGTATTCATGGGCTGGTCATAAGGAACCTATAAGGGAAACTTCCTGTGAAACTCTGAGTAATGATTTCAGTGTCAGGTAGAAGTGTATATCCTGGCCCCCAGTGGTTATTTTTAATGTAGCATAGAGTACTGAGCTGTAAAGTTCCTGTGAAATTTACCATTGTGTTCAGAGTTCATTGAAGTCGAAGTCTGAAAAGTGTAGGACAATGGGAAAAGCTCTCTGATTTCATTCATACAAATTTTTTGAAAATAAATCAGATAATCCAAAGCTTTTGGAATTAGTGGCAGTCCCTTCATGCTGTAACAGGCAACTATAATGTCATCATGTACCCACAGAAAGGGATCTATTTCAGTTGTGACAAAACCTGAGGTAGGACAGAATTTTGGCAGAGGAGAGATTTATTTCTCCCAGGTTTCACCTTTACCTTCTGTTGCAGATGTCTTCATTTTCATCTGCTGAACCATGTGCTGTTTCTATGTTCTTGAAGATGTTAGCTTTAAAACACAAGGGGAGCTTCCATCCTCCAGCTTTGCATTGTGTATCTTTGTGTATTTCTGTATTTTGTTTTATAAACTTTGTATATGCATGCCACTGTGTTTTTATTCAGATTTTGCAAGAAGACCTTGATCACACTCCTGACTGTTGGAATTAATTCCAAAAACAAGCCTGGAAAAACAAATTTTGTGTTAAAATTGTTTGATCAGCTTATCTCCAGGCTCTATTAGAGGAGAAAGCTGATTGCTAACAAACTCCATGTAGACATGCCTATTAATGTGGAACATTCAAACACCTCTAGTAATGTGCAAAAATATAACTTTTAATGGTAGAAAATCCCTCTTGGTCTATTTATATAGTGCAGCTGGTGATGCTGTAATAAAGAAATGCTACCCTGATTTGTGACACATTCAGAAATAATCTCTACTTGCTCATAGCTGACTACATAAGCCTGATCCTGCACACATTACACAGAGAAAAAAAATAAATAAGTCTTGTATCTGGGTGGAGTATTGTTATGGTTAAAGGGTGCAAGATCATGATGTTTTGATGTGAAACTTAAGACAGTGAGCAAAGGCAGATCCTGAGGTGATTTGTGCTTCTGCCAGGTTGTCAACACCAGAAGCATTTCAAGCAGAGCGTAAAGAGTTCGCTTCTGTGGATCATAATCATCTATATTCATCAGCTACTGTACAGCTTTTAGACACAAGACTTTATTTAAGATGTAAAACTATACTTCAGCTCTCTGTGCTGTTTTGTTACTTGCAATGCTTTCCACTAGCTCCGGTATCACTCACTGCTGCCAAAAAAATATTCCTGTTAATGATACTCTTCTATTTTATCTGGCTACAGTATGAAACATGTTAAAATCCCTGCTCTATATTAAATTCCATTTTACAACACTGTTTGCAGAAGGTTCCTATGCTATGGAGATCCCCTCTAATTCTGGTGAGCTTTCTCCCTCCCTGTTGGGAGAGGTCTGTAACAGCCCCCGCCCCATGCACAGCAGGGTTTTGCAGGCCTAGGGTTCTGTTTGTTCTCTCTCTTCTCATAACTTTTGAATTTCCACAGTACAGTATTTCCAGACTCACCCATCCACTTTTTTTGTTTTCTATATATTTTATGTTGCCTACTTTATCGCAACCCCCACCTTGGGACTCCTCAACACCATTACCTTGCAGTGACTCCTTCTGGGAGAAGTGGCAACTTGAACAGCTACAGAGTTCCCCTATTGCTGATGCCGGTCAGTGTCCAGTCCCAGGTCAGTGGCATGTTGAATGGACACCTCAGGTGCCATTCTCCCACCTCACCTGCACCCCTCGAGACAACTACACCTTTTTAAGCTGCAAAGAGAACCACCTTATGCTGTCACTAGGATAGAAACCCTAGGAATTCACCACAAACTCACCACCATGAGCAAAAGCTTTAAGTGAAAGTATCCTATAGGTACACGGAGCTGTTGCACCAGCCTTCACCTGTTTGATAAAGCCAGTCTCTTTATGTGATTGACTTGTCCCTGCGATAAAAGGGGGATTTCTTGTGGAGTACCTGAAATACACTAATGCTGGTCTTTTGTTTCTGTATTTTCATAGGCAATCACTCAGGCGTGGTTTTGAGCATCAACTCCAGAGAGATGCACAGTTACCTGGTTAGCTGATATTTACAGCTGAACACAAAAACCGAAAGACTCTTCTCTGTATTGTTTTATTTTTCCCTGGTGATGTCACAAAATTGTGAATATGGCTGTAAATGCTGGTGGAGAGAAGGTTCCCTAACAGTCCCGTGGAAAAAAAGCGTTCATCATCAGTTACCAGGGGAGAAGGATAATACGTCTTGTGTTCACTCTATGGCCTGGGAACTCTTTACAATTCAAATTCAAACTATGGTAGCAAATTTGTAGCCCTAGGCACATTCAATGCCACCTTCTTTTCTTCTGTTCCTGTATATGCTCTAGTTCTCTATGTTTATTTTTAGGACGATTGACTGTAACTTTTTAATTAGGTTTTTAACTGAGGTATTCAGTGGAAGGCTGGGACTCTTCAGCCTGAAAAGGTGATTTCTAAACAAGTGACTAGACCAGAATAGACGGTTGGTTTTCACGATGATATTGTGTCAGAAGGCCATAACTCAGCAGTGGTTCTGCACTGGGAGAGGACTGAGCAAGAAGTCCTATGCACTCCTAGGCCATACAAGCTCTTAACTTAAAACTGTGTGAGACAATCTAATGAATTTAGGCTTATGCCCTTCTGTGGATTACAGGAAGTGAAGTGTTAATAAGGATATCTCATAATTATAGGATAATTCTCCTTTAAGTGTAGCAAGTCCTGACAAACCATCAGCATAGGTATGTACCCTGATCCTACCCCATGTGAAAGAGAAACACCAGCGTGAAGCTTTTCCCAGACCAGGTGCCTTCACTTGCAGACAGTCATTTCAGTTGCTCTCTTCTTGTCTTCTGAGCAAGCACCTCTAGGACGATGGCAGCTGCCAGATCAGTTATCATGTAAAAAAAAAAAAAAAAAAAAAAAAAAAAAGGGGGGGTGGGAGGTGCTCATGGCCTGCTTCTTTTTAAATTTCCAGAGAGTGTAAATACCTCTTTCAGGTCTCTTTCTTTGTATGTGTTTTTTGTTGTTGTTTTGATAATTGGAGCAGAGATGCCTGGAAGGTCAGAGCTCTCCTCCAGGTAGGACACCACAGTCCCCTTCCCACTCGTGTCACCCCTGGGGCTTCCCCTGCCTCTTGGCCCTTGGAGGCAGGGGTGGGCAAACCCTAACCTGCACTCTGCTTGGGTTGCTCTGACAATCTGTAGGGCCCTGGGGAGGACAGGTTGTGGTTTCAGAGTTGGTATTTCCTTTCTCTCACCACAGGGTGTCACTCGGTCCCTAGCACAGCACCGGACCCTATTCCTGCAGGTTGGGCAGTGGGGCTTCTGAAGGAGCCTCCTGCAGAAGGTCTCGGGGGTCAGCCTGGAGGTTCCCAAGCCCAATTTTGTGACCAGCTCAGAGTTCCCAAATCTAAACTTTTGTACCCCCAGGCAGAGGCAGTGTGGTGAATCTGCAGCTCGCTGCTGGTTTCCCTGTGGTTGATGGAGCCATGTAGGAAATGGACTGTGGTGTGATGAGTTCAAACATCTGGCATCCTTTGTGTCACAGCTGCCTGGAATTAGGACACTCCTCTCAGAAACCTATATAATCTCTTCACTTTTTGCCTTCAATAGAGAATAAATAGCTCTTTACTCAGTGAATGTCATACTGATGCAAATGGCAAGCTCCCACACCACCTTGCTTAAGGAGGATGCAGATAGCTAACTGCATCTTTCTGAATAAACAAACAGTAAATAATGAGCGCTGGCAAGACAGAAAATACCTATCTTTAAATTACCCCATGCATTGAAGTCATTCTTCCATGTAGCTGTTGATATCCTAGAGCATATGGTTGTCAAATGCAACAGACTGTGATGTAATAATTCAGTGCAGCACTGTAGGCTCTCGCAAACCCTACAGGATTATGTGTAAAGCACAAGAAATTCTAGTTTAGAAGAAACTTAATGTACGGACCTGGGTGGAAAAGTTAAAGATTCTGAAAGTGCTTGCAAACTGCTCAGGAAAATAATTTCAAAAATCTTTCAAAAAAAAAAAAAAAAGCCTATGTAGTGGTAGAGTGCTGTGCAAATTGATCCAGAGAGGAGCAGTGCTCTAGCTGACATGTATGCAGGAAGGACCATGCTTAAATCCAAGGTGTTACATGTGTCTGAGTCTGCATTTCTTGAAGACTACAAATACAAAATGTGCTGTGCATTGGAAACTCTCAGGATTCTTGCACCAGAGGCTTTCCCTTCTCACCAGCCCTTTCAGCTCTTTCTAGTGGGAATGAGCTGGAAAAGAGTAAAATAGTATTGCAAACAGCTTGCTTATAGTTGTGAAATAAATCTATAGTAGGTGTGGGGCAGGTGAGTAGGGGATTCGCCTCATGAACAAGGAGTAGGATGGAAATCCTAGTTTGGGATCGTTCTTCCACAGATTATCTGATTAGTGAAGGACACTGTTGGAACTAGGTCACACATCTAATTTATGCTTTAACAACTACTTTTGTGTATGTAATACAGGGTGATTTGTGTCTCTGACAACAGGAGTCTTTTGGAAAACCATAGAATATTTAACTGCTTGATACTCTAATTAACGCAGCACAATATAGTGCCTGTAATAATGTTTTTCAAAGCTAATTAATCTGATTCATGCAGCACTTGTGTGAGGTTGGTTTGTCATGTCTTAAAAGCACTGTTTTCTAAAGAGATGTCAGTATCACCGTAACTGTATTAGCAATACCCAGCATATAATAAAGGAAACCTTTGATTCCTTGGCAAGAATAAATTTAAAATGAGTTATTAAAAATTGAGAAAAATACCATGCCCGTTTTCCCATTCATGGTTTATCTTTAAATGAAAATTCTCACAGCACTAGGTTTTGAATCTCTTGAACTACATCCAGGACATCTTAGCGGCTATATAAATATATATACATCCTTGATAGGTATCTAAAATCCTCTTACATGCATAAAAAGAACAGAGAGTTCTTTCTATGCACAATTGCTAGGCACACATGTATGCATTTGTACATGCAGTATTCGTATGTACTCCAGTTAAATTTGTTAGTGAGCAAGGGTGATTTGATGGCTAAGAAATGGAAGATGGGTGTCAGGTACCTAGATTCTGTACCCAGACTTTGGGCAACCTACTTAACCTGTATGTGCCTCAGTTTCCCCACCTGTAAAATGGGGCTGATAGTAATTAATAGTAATCCTCACAGGAGTATTGTGAGGCTAAAGTAATTACTGTTTCTCCGGGACCTTTAGAGTGAAAGAATTATGTGAGTATATAATATTAATAGTCTCACTTTTTATTTCTTTTTTTATTTCCTTTTTTTTTTTTTTTTTTTAACTGTTTACTATTGCTGTAATTTAAGGTAGTATACTGAAACCAACCACAATTATATGTAAATGTAAAACATCCATAAACGAAACAGGTACATAACTGTTAAAAAGAATAAAAGAAAAAAAAAAAGGTAATTTCGGTTGAAAGCTGTTATTGGACCATATGCAGAGTAGCATTGCAACATGTGCTGTGATCTTGCTAATTTGCATCCTAGTATCTTAAACTTGCTTTCTACAGTGTTATTTGTCAAAAGTCTTATCCATTGGATATAATGATACCTATCAGCATTGACAACGAACTATACTAAAACCGGAAACAACAAAACTGGTATTGTATTGGTAACATTTAGAGCTTGTGGCCTTCTTAAACTCACATGTATTTGCAAGTTCAAAAACACCTGGTACTTCTAAGAATGCTCCAAGGAGTTCTGATGTGAAGCCATCAAGATTTACAGTTGTTAACTGTGGTTTCCCTTTTGACACTGGATGTTTGAGACAGGTCTACTCATATAATGTGCTCAGAAATGCTCAGAAGACATTTACAGACAACCACACACCCCCAGTGTAAATTAATTTCTTAAAAATAAAAGCAATATAAACCAATGTATATTTTTATACCCTTTAAAAGATGGTGGTGAAGAAACTGTGAAGAAATAGAAGATGCCAGCCTGAGGCAAGATGTTGTTATAGCTCCGATTGATATCCAATTTCTTTGAACATTTTGAGGATATTCTCATTGAATTATATTATTCTTGAGTTTTCTGCTTTCACTGACCAGTGAGAGCAGCATTCATTCACGTAAAGTAGATGATTTGTTAAATTACTGTCCTCTAGACAGACAGAGACAAATCAATGTTTTGTGATTACTAGCTCATAGTACAAAGCAGACTTCAGCTGACGTTATTATGTTGGTTATCTGTTTTTAGTCCGCTGAAAAATCCCTTTAGTGGGAATACTCTATTATGGCATGTCGCTTCTTTAATAGAGAGTAGCAGAATGTGACTGCATTGGTTTCTATCCTCCTTACATAAATACATGCTCAAAGATATATGTATATATATTTCATTTTTAAGAAATTAAATTTACTGCCTTTGTAGTAGCTTTTTGATGACAAAGCAATGATTCTGATATGTTTTGAATTTTAACGTTATTTAAATTTGAATACAATGTTGCTAAATCAGTAGCATTGATGACAATGTCAGTTGAAGGTTTTTCCTTTGTTTCCTCTAAAACTATGATGTGGCTGTTTGTTTTAATGTGGCTTTGGGGAAAAGAGGACAAGAATTTTTATTTTGTTATCGAATTATTTACAGTTGGAGTTGCTTTTGTATGTCGATTGATATTGCTGTGTTGTTTCCACCTTCATTTTAATTTCAGAGTTTTAGAAGAAAGTGCAAATTTCTCTCAAAATACCAGCTTACCACCAGAAAGAGATTTATTAGCATTTACCTGTATAAATATTAGGTTTTGAGATGCAAAACTTTGATGGATATTCTAGACCATCCTAGCTTCCTACCATATTTTCTCTATTCTAGCCCCAATTGCTTATTTATTCTACAACTTTCTTTGAGACTAGCATATAGCCTAATCTTACTGTTCTGTGAAAGTCTTTCTAAAACTTCCATTAGAAGAACATTTAAGTGTCTAGAAGTAGTTACAGTGTCTGCTTAGAGCATTTTTATAACACTGTCGATATTTTAATATTCTTTATTTCCTTTCAGTATTTCAGTATTAGCCCTCTGACTGCCATTTAAATGTTTATTCCTTTCGTGGTTACATATATAATGTTTTTCACTTACTTTCAGACTACAGTCATCAAAGTGACAAGTTTTGATGTATCTCAGACACCCAGTTAGCTTTTGCAATTAGAAGCTGAGCCCTGCAGTCTTTGGAGAATGTCAAGCTGTGCACTCTTTAATTTTTTAATCTTCTTTCATAAGTCAGCCCTCCTACCTGGCTGACCGCCTCTGCAGCTTTTCTTCCCTTTCTTTTTGCTACCTCCAGCTGGTGGGAGTGCAGAAAGTTTTCACAATGCCTAGATGGCCTACAAGTCGATTCCCAAATTTGAACAGAAACTGTTTAATGGACTAATTTTTTTTCCTTTCATTTCAAATATTTTGCATAGAGTGCAGAGGGCTATATATACTGTCAGGGAAATAAAGACTAGTAATCTGCGCAAATTGTTCTTCATAATGGTCTGAAGACTAAAGAATGTATTTGCAGAATTATTTTTTTTCCTGAAATTGATACCTATAGTAAGTTAGTTTCATGGTTTTTAATATGCCAGGTCTTATTTCTTTAAGTCTTCAGTACTTCTTTTTTTTTTTTTTCTCCTGTTAAATGGAGTAACAAAGTATGTAAAATGTGAATTGTGAAGCAATGTATGACCAGCTGGAAGATTTTCATTCTTTTCATTTCTCCCTCTCTCTCTTTTTCTTTTTTTTTTTTTTTTTTCCTTTTTTTCCTTGTTTTAGGCTTATCAGAATTACTATTTTCGGCTAGTTTACATGACAGTATCTGTGGTGATCTTCTGGAGACAGTATTTAAGATGAGAAATACTGGAAGGCTTAGAAATACATATTCTGTATGTACAATATAGCTCTGTAGGCAGTGCTAGGCTATGAATATGCTGGACAAAATAACATTCTTATCAAAGAGCTGTTATGGTTTGTATTCAAATATTCTCTTTTAATATATATGGATATAAAATATCTCTTCAAATACGTATACTTAATTGCATATTCTTGTCCCTCTTTTAGGTTAGTTTTCTTTTTAGGAATGACATTTTGTAGTCCTGAAAAAAGTAGATTTTTTCCTTCACACAAGTAATTTAGTTTAAAATTATTTCCTTGCAACACACTGAAGGCATTAGGTAAACTTGAGCTTAATTAATCAGACTTGATTTCTTGAGTTTCTGTAGAATTTGCATCTTTATAACAATTTGTTGCAATGCAGTGGACATAAAGCCTTGTTGTGCAGCAATAATACATGCAGCAGTAGTTGCCTTTGATGCACATATTTTTAAGGGTGTAATGAGTTTATTGATCACCAGTAAATTCAGGCATTCCAAGTAAATTTCTTAGCATGTCTTATATTTCTATGTAATTTGTTGCTAATTTTAGCCAGCTTTTGGTATTTACATTCATTTCTGTCTGACACTGTCTGCTCTTGCAGATCAAAGGGCAAGAATTGGCATATTCTCGTTAAATGTATATCTACATTCATTCACACCATTTGCTTGTTAAGTTAAAAGAGTTTAGAAAGTAAATCTATCTGAAATGGTGAAAGCAATGCTTTTTAATGAGGACAGCTCATACAGAAAAAAACAGCAGACTTGTATCCACATGTTTTTTGAGACAGACAATCTTGTTATGGGTTATGAACAGGCAGCACCATGCAGAATGTATACATCTCAAAGAGCAGTAACATGCACGTAGGCAATTCACAACTGATAAAACTAGAGAACTTTTTAATACACAATTTGTATGTACCAGATACACATAAGGATGTTTAAATGGTTACAGTTACAGAGTATCATCACAAACATAGTAAAATGCCCAATTTACTATCTCTGCTTGCTGATAAAGCTGGTAAAGGCACTTTTTTTTTTTTTGGTTTATCTTTTGAGATGCTGGTCTTCAGAGAGGTGACCTGCATTGTTTAATGCTTGGAACTCTTTGATAAGTAATTGGTGACACTACATAGGAAAATTTATATGAATTTCCATTCTCTTTTGTTTTTCCTTGTTTTCGCTCCATACTCTTTTTTCTCCTGCTGTTCTGTTTCATTATTGCTGCTACCTGTTGCTCTGCCTTGCCTGCCTCCTCCTCCTGATAACAGTTCTCTACAATCCACTTTTCTTTCTTCCTTGCATTTGTTTTGCTTTGTGTTCTGTTTCTATCTGTGTCTTGAATGCTAACAAGAGGAATCACCATCTCTTCCCCATCCCTGTCTTTTCTCTCAGCTTTGGTGTATTATCTTAGCTGATGTACGTCCCTATGTTTTGTCTCTCTGCATTTTCTTCTTGTTTCTTTCCCACTTTCATTTCTTTTAATATTTTCATGTTAAATTTTGGCTCTCATTTTCTATAAATCTTTCTGGAACTCTTCCCTTTTGCCATTTCTGCCCTTCTCTCATGTCTTTGACCCAGAGAGCAGATGCTTCTTCCTGAAATTGGGATCATTGTTGTCCTCCCTGGAGGAGTGATAAGCTATAATCAGCATTTTTTTTCTCTCTTGATCTCACTGTCTCTCTTCATTGGAAGAAATACATTTAATTGGTAGACAACTAAACCCATGATTTCCCAAATACCCCCTTTTGCCTAACTTCAGGTTACGAGGAGGAGATACGGTGTTGGCATGAGCCTCCTGGAACACAGCAAGGGCTGGCTTTCTTTGCCTGCCCTTCAAACTGGCAAATAAAGGACAGCAGCAAAGTTGGGCAGAGATGTCCTGACAGCCATTGGGCTGCATATGTATTTCAGTTTGGGTTGCAGAGGACCAAGATACTACATAGCCTTTTAGATAAAATGGTACAACATGAAGATGAAGAATAGGCGAGATAGAATCCGTTGCTATGGGGAAAAGCAGGACCAGGGATCAGTTGTCTTTGGAATGGCTTGTTTGTTGGGTTTGTATGCAACCTTTCCTGGATGCAGAGGCAAATAACTTTCTCTTAAGCTCATTAATATGCAAGTTTAAGCTGTAACCATATGGGTTTGGCAGAATCTTCTTGTCGGGGAGCTTGCAGAAGATGATGGGGATGAAGTAATTGAAAAACTCAGAGCTATTTTTGTAGGATAGAACCTAGGCTAGAGAGGAAGTGTATGTAAGAGAGATGCAGGAGGGAGAGGAGCACAAGATTATACAGGACAGGGAAATGCAGGGAGAAAGGCAATATAATCAGTGTGTATGATTTTGCCACAAGTTTTTGATGTTATATTTTTCTTAAGCTTTGGAGCTTCTTTTAATTTGTAATGACACATATATTAAGTTTTGTTGGTTGCATACAGAGGCTTTCAACCATGAATCTAAATTGCTGCGGCACCAGGAACATGAAAATGCTAAATTATCAGCATTAATTTCTGCTTATAATTTAGAGAGCACACAGCAATATCATACTTGATGGAAAAGCATTTGCTTCCCAGCAGCCAGGATGCATGTATGTGTGCTTCACAGGTAGCTCCAATGTAGCCTTACCTCGGATGATTGCAGGCCATTTCTTTATGGTGCTCCTCCTTAGAATGGCACTGAGTTAGGAGGCATGGAGTAGAGTTATTTTACGGATTAGCTATGTGTCTTGGATTTATAGTGATTAAATGTAATTTGCTAGAATCCCTCTATGACATGTAATTTTATAAAGTTTAGAGAGGATGGATGAAGTTGGTGAGTAGGCATAGTATTCCTAAAGATAAACACTAGACACTGGACTTTCTCAACATGTGTCTAGAAATTTTAGTTTTAGGAACACAGAGTTCTTATATTTTCTATACACACCAGGCATTTGAGTACAGCTCCTTTCTTTATTTGTCACTGACATGTTATGAATCATTTCCTCATGGGTGTATGGCATGAGATGAACTTGCTGCAGGGCAGAGGACTCTGGAGAGAAAGTCTAATCACATGGAGAAGTACACTTGAATTCTCCCCTCTTGATCCCAGTCTCTTCTGAGTTACTTTTCTCCGATTGTGGTTCTGCCAGCCAGCTGGTTTGAAGTCAAAAGAAGATTAACTCATTTTTATCTTCTTTTGTATGAGTGAGAAAAATACAAGGAAAGCATTGCAAAGGAATAGCAGCATGAAAGAGGTAGGGAACTTGATCAGCTGGTAGGGTGCTTTGGGAAGCTTACACCTTTTGTGCTTTACTTACCACTTAAATTCACAATTATGTACAGCTACTGTGATTTCTCCTTCCATTAATCATAGGTGTGGGGTTTTTTTGCAAAAGGGAAGGTGGTTCTAAAGAATATCACACCAGTATATTGCAAATGTGGTGTTAGAAGGCATCAGCTATCACCCTTTCTCACTTAAATGAAAGTATCATAGTGCCATAACTTTGCACTTATGAATCTACACTAGGAATATCAATTCACAATGGATTCGGTATTGGAGAAAGATTTGAGAGACAGTGAGAGTTGGAATGGAGAGTTTTCCATTTGAAGAGCAAAGGATTTATGTGGTCTTATTTACACTGCATCTGTGGCTGTTCCAACACATGTGGGTCCAAAATCCCTCATTCGGACAAATCCCTGACTCGGACAAATCATATAGATTTGCTGGCATTGCCTGTGGGAGTAAAAGGGAAAAAAAGACAGTTAAACCAAGCTCAAATAATATCTTCAGGCTAATTAGAACTTCAGGTCTTGGTAAAGAAAGAAAAGCCAATAAAGTAAGAACTAGGCTTGACATGCTAGTTGTGAAGATTCACAAAGTGGTCTTCACTGCCCTGTTGTTCCATGTGGAGAATTACTTATTAGGCCTTGCAGGGCCAAATTCTGCCCAAATTTATGGCCATGCAGGTTCACAGAATTTGTCAGGTAAACCTTTTGTTCCAGAAGAAAGCTGTTCATCCACAGTGAGTTTGAAATGTACCTGCAGGCTAAAATCAGTTGTCGTCTTGCTGTATCCATATGCACGCAGGTGAGTGACTGATTTTCACCTGTAATTCCTGCTCCCATGGTTCACGTGCATGTATTTTGTATACACATAAGCTAATTACAATGAAGGCAGCGCTTAGTTTTTGAACTAATCACAACTGCTTTTTCAGAGTATGGTCAACAAATGCTTAACACTGTGTTTCTAAATGGATTTCTGATACAGAGGCCCTTCCAGTCCAGGTACAGGCTCTTAGTAGTAATCAGTATGCTGTAGTCCATACCTTTAACAGACGCGAGTGTGCAGTCCTCTCCTTTTGCCTTTGCACATTTTAGTATATGTGAAATCCATACTAGACTTTTCCTATTTTACTTTTTTTTTTTTTCTTTTGGGAGACCTTGACTTTGACTGGGTTTCTTTGTATACGGAATCAGGACTTAAGGGAAGAACAAGATTAATCCATAACTGGTGCATTGTCATAAATGGGGAAAAGTGTTATTTGTATATTTTTGTAAATATGTAACATTTAATGGCAGTTTTGTAGTGACGTGCTGTTTTTGAGAAGAAAAAATCAAATAAATATATGTTTGAATATGCTTGATGTAACACTTAACTGTGATTCAATTGCACAATTAATAGCTTAATCAGAAGTCTTGTGCAATATGTAGTGCACACACATAACCAAGTATCTGTTAGTGGTCCACAACCAAGTTTTTGGCAACTTTTAATGATGATGATGAACTGTGCAGAACAGTTGATCACAGTCTCTTTCAGCTTCCAAACATGTAGCAGGCAAACTACTGTATACGTACCTGTGTACTCCACTGCATCCAAAGGTATGCATTTGTCCCAAGAACCTGCACTACAGGTTTTTCTTTAATAAAATTTGGTTCTAAACTATTTGTTGTTGTTTTGTTTCCTTGTGAAGCAGCTTATGGGTTTTGTGGAGGGGAAACGGCTTAAGCAGTCCTCAGAGTCTGTGGGCATTTTGGTTTGTAAGTCATTAGCAGCAAACTTGTACGGTAAGGCTGCAGCAAAGCCTCATCTCCTCCTCCTGCACATCATTACAGGACCTCTCCTTTTTGCCTCTTCCCCTAGTGGAGTTGAGCTGCGGTATAACTGGTGTGAGGGTGACACTCTGTGGTGAGAGGGAAGCCATGCAATTACAGCCAAAGAAAAGTAAATGTTCTCCCAGAATGCTGCTGAATCAAAGGCTGAAAATTTCTGTCTAGCTGAAGAATGAAAGAATTCAGCAGGTGTTAACCTTGATCTCCCTGCAATAAACAGCCATAAATAGAACAAAGCTGTGTGTTCTTCTGACCTTCCTGTGTCTTTGTTGGGATCTTTTCTGTTTTCTTTGGCATCTTCACACACTACTTACTCCTTATTTACTCATTTTTTCTTTATTACCTGTATTGGCTTTTCTTTATCCCACTCACTTCCTGCCTGTGCTATGTAGGAGCTGCATCCTCCTTACAAAATTGAAGGGTCTGCAAATCCAAACCTGTCCTTGAGCCAGCTGTGTGCAAGGATTTTGCCCCAGCTCTCAAAGTGCTTTCTTGTGACTGATCCTAGCAAGAACTGTCTTTCTTTGCTAAAGTCACTGTACTTTTAAGGCCAGAATATTCTGTGCAGCCATGCGATATGGAAATTCCTTCCTGGTTTAAAACTTGGAGAGACTGCTCAGACTTAGCTCAGATTTACTGCTATAATACAGTTTTGGTTTTGCTGGTAGGTGGTTGCTGCTGTGCAGATTGGCTGTTCTAGTGAAATCCTGAAGCTGGTAAAATAAAAACCAAAGGAACAACTGAAAGGAAAAAAAAATCCAAAATATAAATTCAAACTTAATATTCTTAGTGTGTTCTTATCCCTAGTTTAACACTTTCAGATGGTCACGGCCAAAAGACAAAGCAGTTAGAGCAGCCATGCAGGATGGGGAATGGGATCCTACCCCATGGCACATCCTGCTAAATGTAAGGCTGGGTTCATAAATGAGCTTGAGGCTTTCCCTTCTTGAGTGCCTCAGCTTGAAGACATTTTAATGATTGTCATTTCTATTTCTCTAATCCTGTATTGTGGCTAGCTGAGACTTTAAACTGCAATCTGTCACTAAAAAAATGCGGCCTGTTGAATCTCAAGTGACTGTTTCATTTTCCAAATTCCATGCTCTGATATAAATAAAAACAAAACCAAAAGAAACCCTAAACCCTCTTACTTTTAATGATGTTCCACAAGCTCTTTCAGAGGAAAGCTTCTGCTTTGGAAGGACAGAAGTGAGAACAGGGAGACAAGATGCTCCTGGAAATAACCCACCTCAAGAAACTTGCCAACATTTAACCTAAAGGGCTACTTTACCTCACAAACCAATTTCCATGGAAAAAAAGGATAAGATAATTGCTTCATTTCTGTTTTCTTTGCTGTCCTCCTCAAAGCCGTATTAATTGCTATGTTATTTTGAAGTCTAGTTGGTTTCAACATCAACATGAATTATGTCTCTGTAATAAAACTTCTGAGTCATAAACATCAGCCAATATTTTTTCCTGTTTTCCATTAAGAGACTGATATATTTTTTTATTTTTTTTTAATTTTTGTGATTTATGCATTGAAAGATACTTTCTCAGCATTTCATCATTACAGCATCATACCATAAGCTGACCTAAAAAAAAAAAATAGTATGTGCTAAAAAAAAAAAGTTAAAAAAGTAGTAATTCCAATCAATAATTCAGTGACAGCAGTTATCAGTCTCCTGAAAAATTAATGAAACCAAGAATGAAGCTTTTCATTTATGTTTAACTTGAGACTGTGTAGTAATTCTACTGTGTGAAGCAAAATCTAATAGGAAAATTATTTCCCCGTCATCAGGAGAGCTCATTGAAGAGGAATATCTTTCCTCTAATTATTTCAATTATCTAATATATTCTGAAGCAATAATGTTGCATTGTCTTGAGACAGATGTTTGCATTAAAAATCAAATTGAAAAGAATATGATACATTATTTTATAGGAAAGAATGTTTTTGTAACTAGTGGTTGGAAAAATTAAATAAGTCATTTCTGAGAGAAACCAGCTTCATTTATCAATAGGAATATGTCAGGGGAAGAGGAGGAAGCATACAATACTTACCCAGTGCGTGCTTCCAGCTTCCATGTACTGTGGAGCTGGACCTCTCTGCAGCAGAGCTGATAGCTTTGTGTCAAATAGCTTTAAGTAATTCTCTGCCATGAATTTTCTTTATTGTTATGGGGCCTGTATAAGCTTTTAGCATCCATAACATTGTGGCAATGAGTTCCACAGCTGAATCACACAGTGAGGGAAAGTACCTCTGTGTCGTTTTGAACCTGCCCCATTAATTTTGGTACCCTGAGAGTTTGTACTATTAGTGACACAGACTATTTCATTCCCTAGTCACATTCTCTTTCTGGTAGTGATTTTTTTTTTAACCTTCTAACATATTCCTCGCCCTCCTTCAGATTTCTTTTTTCAGAAGAAACCCTTATCTTTTTCCCCCTTTGGATTTCATTTTAATATCAATATTTTTCCCTGTATGGAGGGGTCTCTCTTGCTCTTGTACCATCACCAGCCTATCTATTTATGCTATTCAGTGTCCAGACTTTGGATGAAGTTTTATGGGTCCTAAAGAAGTCAGTGGAGCTATCAGAGCATTTACCACTTTGCACAAGTTCTGGTGCACAGCAGTTGTTTGAGTGTTATCTTCATCTTTGTCATGGGGACGTGTGGTGCCTGGATGACATATTGCTACAGCTGAAGATGTTTTGCTGCTGACAGCATGTGTTGTGATATTACGTATGTCTCAACCACGCAGGGTCTGGAACTTTTTGCTGTGTTTTAAACCACAGGGTATTTGCTGGTTGTTTTGTTATCGTTATTATCATTGTTACTATGCAATACATGAATATTTTCTTTGACCTAACTATGATCCATGATCATCTTTGAGTGTAGTCAGAGCTATGTCAGCACTCATAATTATATCTGGATTATTTTGCGGAATTGTTTATCTTTTCTTACCTTTGGCAGTTCTTTCTACATTTATTGACATTGTATTTCTTCTGGTATTTTAATCACTGGTGAAGTTTCTGCAAATCCTTGTAGTTGGATTTTAGTGTTAATATCCTGAAACAGTTAGTAACAGACTTTTTTTCATCTCACTTCTATTTTTTTTTCGGTTAGTTCTGAATATTCTGATATGCACGAGGCCCAGACCCCAGCCCTGTGGTATCCTAAGGCTCAGGGCCACTGGAAAAAAAGAATTTGTGATTTTTCTTTTTCTTTCTTTCCCTTTTTTTTTTTTTTAATCAACCAGTTATTTATCCTACTAAGCTTTTTCCTTTTATCCAGTAGCTATTTAAGATTCCTTTGTGACTTTGTGATGGACCTTGTCAAAAGTGTACTGAAAAATTCAAGCAGAATATGTTATTTTCCTACATGCTTTTTCCTAGAAGCCTCACAGACCTCTTAGCACTTCATGAATAATGACATCCCAGTGTAAAAGGGATGCCTGATGATTCTCAACTTCTCAACTTTCAGACAACTTTTTTTTTTTTTTTTTTTAGAAAAGGTCACAGGGGTGATAAAGAATCTAGCATTAAAGCACTGCAATAGTAGTGAAATGTTACAAGCCTTGATTGAGTAGACAAAAAGCTGTGTCTACTTGTGACACAATTCTTATTAGTTATATCACAATGACATGTTTTACATATGCTGGCCATCTTTTTCTCCTAAGATCAAGGAGATTGTGAGTACAGAAAGGAAACCAATTAGGCTGCTTCCATGAATTTAGTAAGATGAAATGTATTTTCTACTTAATCTTGACATTCAGTAATAACTTTAGTGTGGTGGTGGTGGTGAGAGCTAAATCTAGGGAAAGCAACACGGAATACTTATGGCACATCATTATGCAATCTCTTCTTTCAGTCATCTATAAGGAATTGCTATAATCACAGTTATCTTGCCTGATAATTAGTGCAGTCTGATTTTGATCTACTTTAATTTCTCTGGGGTAATTTTTATCACTGTACATAAAAATGTACACTATGTTATTTATTAATTGGTTTGACATCTAAGCAAATAGTGACACTAGATAAGCAGTGCCTTCTGCTTTGAGTGCTAAATGCACTGAACTGCTGTTTTCCATTGCTGGGCTCTCTTTTACATATAGTGTATTCAAGTTGAAGAAAAAATGCACATTTTAATGTGATACAAAAAAAAAGTGACATAAAGAAATATATATACTTTATATACTATATACACTTTTAAATACTTTTTTTTTTTTTCTATTTTTAAATAACAGGAAACAACAATGCAAATACTTCTTTTATTTATGACAGGTAACTTTATTAATAATGGTCTTGTATCTGTCGCACCTACCAGGTGCCAGTCTGTTTTTCACACTCTGCAAGACTTCCTGAAGAATAAACTAGAAAGGCATAAAGTTAGTTGAAGCTACTAAGACACACATTTATAGGTGGGTCTGTTTTGGACTTTTTTTTTTACAGAAGTTTCCATGAATGTGTGCCAAAAATATTAAATACATTGAGAAATACAGTAGAAAGAATATATTTACAGTCAATTATAATGGGCAATCCAATAACAAAAATAAAACAAAAACTTTTTAAATGTTTCTTTCATGCTTTTTTCACAGAAATTTTTAAATATGATTTTGTTTTTTAAAAAATACAATAAGGAAATAATTACATTCTTAATATGAGAACATTATCTTACAACATACAGCATGGGCCAATTAGTTTGAAAGTGTCATAAATGAAAAAAATAAGATACTAAATTAAGTATTCTCCATTTCAAAATTCAAATTGCCACAATCATCTCGTTTAAAAAAAAAAATTAATCCCCTAAGATTATGATCTGTTTTTTAAAAAAGCATCACCCATTAAAAAAAAATAAAAAAGCACCTGGTATAGTAACAGGAGTTTGTTGAGGAAGCAGAAGTGTAACATTTTCTCAAAAGACATAGAAATGCAATGGTTTAAAATACAATAAATTTCATTTTTAAAAAGTCATACTGCTCTATTACTGACTGCCTGGTGACCCTGAAATCCTGAAAACATTGAAAATACAAGCTCTGTTGCTTTTTATAAAAATTGCACAGCAACAGTACTTTTTTAAAAAAATGGAACATTTCACAGCACTGAATGTGGTCCATTGAGAGATTATTTCTAGTGGATTTTTATTTATTTGTTTCCTCCTTTGAAAACATTGGCCATTACAAAGTATAGACATGTCACTAAAGGCTAATTGCAATGTTACCATTAGAGACACACAATTATACAGTACAGGGTGGGGAAGTGGCTTTAAGGAGCCTCTGCAGGAGGATGGGCAAAAGGGGATGGAAGATACAATACTAATATTAGGTAAATAAGTCTGACTCAGAGGAATTTGGCTTTTGATTACTCTGCATTACTTTATGTGGGACCACTTCTTAATGGCAACTGTTACATCCTTGCAAATGTTTACTAGAAGCCTAATTTGCATCATAAATATGTACAGATATAAATTAAATATTTATTGAAATATACAAATAAATAACTTAATTTGAAATAAAAAGCCTAAATGAACTTACTTTTGCTTCAAATTTGTTTCTGCTATTGTTTGTGGGAACTTGGTAATGTTTAGTCCATAGTCATACAGCATAGAATGTGCCCTCCGCCTACAGTAATAAGTAAGCAGATGACTGAAAATAATATAAAAAAAAAAAATCCTGTTTTTGATGAAAAACACACTGACACTTGCTTCCCTATAGTATTGCATTTCTGTGGCACTTCGTACAATGCACAGTCCTAGGAAGCAAAGAGCCTTTTCCAATCTAGGACCCCATTTCTCCTCTGCTAAGGGTCAATGTGATGCCTGGCACATTTGGGAACAGGATTTAGCACTTCACTTCTGTGTGCACCATTATGGACATGCTTTTCAAAACCACTTGGCATACACCTGATCTGGGGGAGCTGCTAAGTGCTGGGTCTTTCTGCTAGCTCTGTGCTGGGACTCTGGGCTTGCCAATCCTAACAGTTCCTTCAGGAAGTCCTTTGGTGTCCTTAACGAGACCTCTGGACCGTAACAGGATTTGATCCCTGATAACTACTGTGTTGCCAGCTTCTGTGATTTTGCTTGCAAGTCTTAAGTACAGATTCCAGCACTAACATCTCTGATTATCTTAAAATATGAGTAGTATTTTAATTTTTTTAATTAATTTTCTAATCCTCATAGTTGAGGAGAAAAATCATGAGAATGTGATTGAAAGCTCTCCAAAGGCTTTAAAAAAAAAAAAAAAAAAAAAAAAAAAAAAGAATAAATTAAAAGAACCCAACTTATGTATTTTTTTCTCTCTCCTGATTTTTTTAAGCCAATCTTGAGATTTTGAAGGACTTCAGCTGGCATTTTACTGCACATAACTTTGCAGGAGTGACATAGATAGAGACAAAGAAGAACAGGTATCTACAATTTTACAGACTAAAATGCAAGACACAATTTCCTAGTAAACAGAAATGGACTCCTGTCTGAAAAAATCCCCAATTCCTTGTAAAAAGATTTATAAAAAGAGCCTTAAAATTATCATCCTTTCAGTCTCATCTTCCTCAAAAATAATAGCTGAGGTCTGAAAAGACGAAGGAAACGAAGTACAGCAGTGTTCTATAACTCAAGTTTAACAATAGTATATTATTTAAAAAACAAAACAAAACTGACCACATAAGCTATTCTGAGTTGCCATTATCTGTTGATTAATTTCAATCATTTTTCTTTTTCAAAAAGTATAGAAAAGAAGCAATATCTAAAAATACCTGTTTGCCATTTTAAAAAGTCAGGAACAAATCATTGCTTGACAACATGACCTTTGAAAATGACTGGTGCTTCGGAATAAAGAGAATGTACTAAAATGCTTTTTTTTTTTTTTTTTCTTCAAAGCATGGCAGCTTTTTATCTCCCAATGACAAAAGTGACTGTCTTAAAAAGTATCAGAGAACTCTTTATAGCTAAGTTGTGTCATTCCACTGTTTCGCACTGCCACTGAGGCCAGTGGTAATGAAGAGCTCCTGACTTCTCGGTTCAAGAAGATCATGAATGACCCTGTGAACACATTTCTTCAGTTTTCTTTTGCCACATGGACAGCAGTGTGACTGCTAATGAGCAAACCTTGGCTCAGCAACTTCTGTGGCAAGCAGAGTTCTTCAAGGCAGTATTACCTGCAAGAGCACATACCTGAAATGATTTCACATCATTCTTAAAGAACGCATTTATCTTCAGAGCTGTTCAGGTCATCTGATGCAATGTAATTAACATTGCTGCTCTATACTGTTTCAGCAAAGTAAACTTTCAATTGCAACTATATGCCTCTTTTTACGTACTATGGTTGGTTTGCTTTTTGATTTTCATTTTCGTTACCAATGAAGTTGGAAATAAAGAGTTACAGGTAATAAAAAGGGGCACACATAGTTACATAGCAATACAGTAGAGGGAATACAGGCAAATTAGCGCCAAGCTACCGTTAACTTAACAGAATTATAAAAACCTCTTATGGTGTATCACTTGATACCACTTTTTAGATGAGTCTTTTGCAGCCTATGTCTTGGTCCATAATAGGTAAGGCCTTTATGGAAAGTGAGTGGTTTTGCTATACTTATGTTCCATTTTTCATCTCCCATTCCTGGAAGGGGGAAAGAAAGATATGGAAATGTTAGAGAAATCAAGACATTTCACTGATGTCATCAGATCTGCTAAGCCAAAACCAGCTGAGGTCAGTAACAGTATTTCCACTGACTACTGGATCCAGCCATCTGCCCACAGATTAGTTAGGGAATGTTAACAAGTATGTCCTGATACGGTCTGTGCACAGCCTCCACCCCTCTGCGACTACATATGGCAACTTTTTTCTAGTACTTTCTAGGGCTTTCTAAGTTACCTATGTGAGAGAGAAGTAAGCACTCAATATCTCATAGCTGACACCAAGTCATTTTAGTCTTACGTACTCTTCCATTTTTTACTGTAAAATTCTTGGTAAGCACACATTATGGCTAAAAAAAGACGCTTACAGGCAGTGTAAAGTTAGTTAACACTGTCTTCGTTTCCCATGTACAGAATCCAAGTTGACCTATTGCTCATTAAATTTAAGAAATCCCTTTACTTTTCCATCCCTCAGTTTCTCTGCCTCTTAACTGCAGATAAGGACACCTACCATCCACAGCAACGCATGTGATCTATAACGCTTTCACCCATGTATTTCAGATAAAGGTATCATGATTGCCATTTCTTCTGCCACAGAAGTGAAAAGTCGCAATGAGTTTGCTATAGCTAAACACCTCATCTAAGGAAACTTGTTGCTATTGACTTGGGTGATATCTACAGTACTTCCTAATATTACATCAGAAGAGAAGATGTGAAGAAGGGTGGGCCAAGCCTAGGACATGCATGATGTACCAGCTCCCTTAAACACATCCGTACAGAGATCAGGAAATAATGAAGTGCCAAAGGAGCTGGCCTCTTGCTGAAGTAATCTCTGTGGAGCAATTCCACAGCTGTTCCTAGCCAGGAACCGGGGTCTACAAATTCCTCTCCCACCCATCGACTCTGCAGAGATACTCTGCAGGAAGCCTGTTAAGTTGGCTCCCAAGCTGAATTCCTGAGTTTAACACTCATTTCATGCTATTTAAGAGCTCTAGCTGAAAACTGTTACTTATGTATGTAAATATCGGTTTCTGCTGCTGAAAGCAGTAAAAGCATTAGTTTGGCTGAACAGCTGCATGACCATGACACCTCTTCAACTATAGTAAAGCACCACTAAAATCACAGTCATTGGTTTTAGCAACATAAGAGGAAAAAAAAATAATAATAAAGAAGGTATAGAATAGGTTAATATTTTTTAAAATCTTGTTTATATTTTTCTTTTTTCTTTCCATTTATTAAGATATAATGCATTTTCACTTTTCAGTTAACACTTTAAATTACGGTAAACCTAAACTTAAAACACAGGATTGGTGAACTCTAGATTACTTTGAAAAAGGATGCTAAATATATATTCCCTACGTTTATGCTGCCAAACCTCTAAAGGAAGTCCTTGTCTGAGCAACTGGGAAGATAATTTTTATTTTTTTTTAAATATGTGTTAAATAAGCCTTGAAAGCAGCAGTTTCTTCTGCAGGTGCTGAAGGAACATCTCCTTTGTTTCCATTGCTCCAGCATGGTTCAAGTCAATGAAAGAATGTTTAAGTCAACACTGACAAACTGAGTGAGAGCTGGGAAACCAGGAGTGCTCATTTTCTTCTCCAAGCCCCAAACATGAGCAAAATGTAAGCTGCTGACCTTCACCAATACAACAGTTTGAAAACAAATTAGAAGAAATCACTGCAGTCTCCTTGCTACACATAAAAATTTGATTTTAGAAAGTCACTTGACCTATGAAACACACTTAAATAATCACTTTATTCTTGCACAGCAATGATATTGGGAGTATTTTACTTTACTCACAATGCTAATGCAAAATGTGACTTTCTACATTTTAGTTAGAGTCCCCATTGCCAGCACAGTAGATTACTGAAATCAGTTAAAAAATCATTCTGACTGCTGAAAAATATACATTCTTAAAACAACAACAACAACAACAACAAAACAGATGTTACAATGAGGAAAGTTTAAAAAAAAATCCAGATAACTGTATGCATACATATGTACAGTGTTTGTCTAAGTACTCAACCACCTTGTTGCTGCGTTCAGATTTATCCCTAGATCTGTCTTCTTACTTCCCTCTATATTTCCCTCTCATGGTGATGCATCTGGAGAGATTTCTGCTGGAGTAGAACACCCCCCTGGGGGCAGCACTCTGCCACACAGCTCTAACACAGCAGGCTGGACAGTGCACACATTCTGCAGCAGCAGCTGCCCCAGCAGAGAAGAGCGCAGTGCTCTGGGCTGCTGAGCACAACAGTGCCAGGAGGGTGGCTGCAAACAAAAGGGTGGCTGGTGACAAGCTCAGCATCCTGGGTGCAAGGGTGGAGTGAGAAGGGAGGCATTCGGTGCATTGAAATGCATAGTGGAGAGGAAAAGGAGGAAAAAAAAGGCGTTTTGAATGCTTATACAACCATAACAGTGGGCGATTTGCCAGTTGCTGAACACACAAGCATTAGCACGGACATGAAATCCGTTTCACTCCCACACATTGCACTGACATTCATGCACCAAGAGCCAAGTAAGTTCTGCTCTGGGATACTCACGTGTGACTCCCTTTGTTTAGCCACATCTATAAGGCCTGGGCTCACTCATAACTGCAAAAGGCCAAAAGAATTGAGAGCCAAATTCCACCCTCACATATGCACATTTAACTCCCACTGAAGGGCGGGTGTGCTGCAGATGCATACCTGATGGCAGGATTTGGCTGCTGCTCCTTGCGAATGGGCTGAGCACAGCTTGGGTTGCACCGTCTAATTCAGCAAAATTTCACCGTTAATATTTAGTGCATGAGGTTTTTAGGAAAAAGCTGTTAAAGCTGAATTGGATACTTTGAGTTATTTTTCCCAGGGTAGGAAATACACTTATTAGCTCCATAGCCTTTCAGATTAGCCTGATTTTATATGCAAGATTCCTCTACAAAAGGACTTTACCAAAATATTGTGCCATCCGAAGTGTAGCGATATCAAACGGCACAGCAGGATGCACCATCCTCTATGGTGCAAGTTGCACACAAAAATTAACTACATCTGGAAGGTATTCTTTACATCAAAATTTTTCAGGTTTTTATAGTGCCCAGGTTTCTTCAGCTCTAACGATTAAATGTGCCTGTCTAGTCTGTAGCATGTCTGAAACAAATCCATGCTCCCTTTTGTCAGGACTGTGCTCTAACTGCTAGACCATATTTTACTAGTAATGCTGAGCTAACATGCAAATCTAAGACAAAATGTTTTGTTAGAGATAATACCTGTATGGGACAAATTATAGTATAATTGGCATACTTGAGAGTACCTGAATCCTTCTTCAGGTTTGAAACAGAAACATCAAACTTGAAAGTTAAATAGAACTGAAACTAATTACTCCCAGTTTAATTATTGTTATCTGACTTAAATGACAGAAAAGGCCATTGATGACCATGGAAAAGAGGGAGGAACGTGGGTGAGAAAGTGCTCACTTAAGGTACAGCACGAGAATTAATTCATGGCTTGGGCAATGTAGGGAGCTTAATGGGGACTGGGAGAGACACAGGGAGAAACTGGGATGTGTCATAAAATCAAATCATTTGGTGAGCTGATGATGTTTTATAATCTAGTACATTTAGGTGCCAGGCCTGACACATTTATCACTGTAAATGTGTGTTATCAATGAAGACTGTAACGGCTTTTAAGGAAAGTTACTTAAAAAATCCCTATTTTGCAGAGTATTTTATTGTTTTGAGAACAGAAAGGGTCTACTAAGAAGACAGATGTCTAAGATTATTATTGTTTATAATTACAATTAGCAGTGAATTACTAAATCAACAACAGCTCGGGGCAGTGCTATTACTGTCACCCTTGGTTATATGCTGCCCATGTGCTTATGTTGCTGGGAGATTTAGCCCACTAGAACGGTCATGCAAATCTCATTGAACGTAAAGCACAAAAATGGAAAAAAAACTTGTAACAATACAACACGAATGCAAATTTCAGCCTGTCTTGTGAGATTGCATTAAATTAATTTCTACTTGAAATGTACATTAAGAGTAGTTAAATTGCGTAATACACTTTCAATAACTGTAATGCAGAACCATTCTGTTCTGTGTCAGCTGGCAAATACCAAACCTGAAAATGTGTTGCATCAGAACACTTATTATAACTTTTCAGCCACTTTTCAGCTATACTGGTTAGTATAACTTAGTGGATTTTGGATGGACTGTCTACACCACAGACCACTTACCTTGCAAATTAAATTTATAAAGGAGCAGAGAAAAACAGGGAAAGAGAGGGAATTAGAACTAGATCTGTCTGTCAAAGTACTTATCAATTCTTCCACAAACAATTCCCTGAAACCAACCCTGACTTGGAGGGCAAGCATGCAGTATTTATAAAGTAATACAGATAATCTAGATATTGTACAGTCTCTTCTTAAACCTAAATTTTACCAACAGAAGCAGAAGGAACCTATCTTTCCCTCTCTCTACCTCTGTAAGTAAGAAGGACAGAGAAAGGAAGCTACACATCTTCTCACCTTTGCTTTTCGAAGTACATGACCTCGACATGGAGAATTATTTGATGAAGGAGGTCGCTTCAGAGCTGCTGCACTGTTCACAGGTATTGAGCACTCGGTATCACTGGTATCACAACTGGAGATTGGAGAGTTTTCCAAAGTTCGATGCTTGAAAATTGGAGACTAATAAAGAGTGAAAACCCTACCTTGAGTTTCCTCCAAATAATCACAGAGGCAGTATTATTCATCTAGACTTAGAAATCCAGAAACTATTTTTAAGGAAATCATACTCATGATAACGTTGAATAAATGAAAATGGGGCTAGAACAAATTAAAAAATACAAATTCTGTGTTCTGTGATGAAAATTAAAGTTCATTTTCTGTCATAAAATAACAATGGGTCATAGGGAGGAACTGACATCTCTCTTAGATACCTCTAATACAGCTACCCTGCTGCTTCTGGCACAGCTCCATAGCATGAGCAAGGTTGCCACGCTCCATCAAGAATGTGTGAGATGTAGCCATTGCAAAGGGTGACAGTGGGACCAAAACAAGCAGGTCTCAGCCACTGCATGATGATTTGGTGTATTTAAAACTTTTCTTGGGATGGAGCAATGTCTCAGTTTATGCTCTTGCAAACTACTGAGGACAATGAGGAATCAATTTTTGTGCCTTATCGTAACACAAATAATAGCTACACACATACTACATACATACTACCTGTGATTCCCATGTTTTCCTGCTCCCATTGCTCTAAAAAGTACACTTCTCTCTACACGAAAACTCTCATTTCACATCCATTTTACTGGAGCCGTTCTAAGCCACGGTAGTGGGGTTTGCATATCCAGTGGATTAGCATACCTGTGGGCTTGATGTTCCTGACTTGGGCTCAATAGCTAAGCCCAGTGTAATGCCACCAGCCAAGGCTTTCTTAAGGCTCTCCTTCACCTCAGTGAGTTCTAGCTCCAGGTTTACACGCTCAGCCTCCTTTGCTTTACATTCCTCTTCCAGCTTCTTTAACTTGTCTTCAAGAATTACTTGGGTCTTCCTGCCTGTCATCCACAGAAATGTTATGTCAACAATGAGCTTAAACTGACACTTTCAAAAATTATTTTCTTTTTAACAAAGTAAAGAACAAGAGTTCAAAAAATCAATGACTTTACAGAAATGGTGCATATTTTGCAAAAAGCATTTTTCCATGTAAAAATCTAGTAACAGAAACCAAATGCTTTCTTTCAGGTTGCTTCCCAAGATTTCTAATCTAGTTGCAAAACAATATTTGTTTTGTTATTCTCCCATGTCATGAAAATATAATTAGCTAGTCACAATAAAATTATTCCTCTGTTCTGCTTAAGTCCCCATCACTGTTAGCTCACAGGTATACATATATATGTATATATATACACGTCAATTCATATAAATGCACAAATATACATACATTATGTATGTATATATGTATAAAAAGCAAATATAGATATTACAGAGTATAGTTTAACATCAAAGCCAAACAAATATAGACATTACAGAGTATAGTTTAACATCAAGGCCAAACCTCATGTAGTGCCACACCTTCATCACACAATGCAAGGCTGGGAAATTAAGCATACTGTGGGCAGGATTCAGCACAATAAAGCACCTCATACCAGCATTGACTTCAATGGCAGCACGTAGATCTTTTCTTTCTTTTCGGAGCTGGGCCAGCCTATTCCGCAGTGCTTCCTTCTTCTTTAGTAGTTCCTCCTCTTTGCTCTGTAACTTTTTTGCATCTGCCTCCACACGATTCTTGCCATATTTGTACTGCTCTGCATCTGTACATATTAAATGGCAGTAATTTATTTGATCCAGTTGGTTCCTGCCTGCTCCCGTTCAAATTTTGATCACAGTTTAAAATGGGTCACACAAAAAACCTTTAGTTTTCTCAATTTAACTTTGGGTTAATCAGGCTTTTGTACCATAGATGTTTTTGTACAGATGCTTCCTCAGCTGTTCAGGCAGTCCACTGCCTCAGTGACTTGCTTAAATTAACAGTAAAACCCCAAACTGTGCCCTAGGTCTGAACATCACAAGAAGCACTTCATGAAACTGGTTTAATGCCACTCTTCCACTGGCTTTTTCTGAAGGTCTGTGATTCCTAATGAGCTCTGAAGCACAGCTACAGAAATGCTATGGGACACATAGTTAGTTCTCTAGGTTTCTATGTGAAAGATGAGAAATACCACATCGTTGTTTTTTTTTTTTTTTTTTTTTTTTTTAATGGCCTTGCCGTTCTCTGTAGTTCAGAGAAAGAAAAGGAGGCTTCTCTTTATCTCTGAAGCCTTGATTTTTAATTGAAAGTGGTCAAAGGAAAAACTTGGTTGCCTTTTTTACGTATCTTCCATTTCTATTTCAAGTACCTACAACACACACCTTTTCTCATCTGACTGAACAGAACACAATGTTACTTTAGAGCTTTCTTTCTTCTTTATTTTATTTGATTTTATAATTTTCCATACAAATGCTTTCTTTTCCTGGCTCACATACATGTGTTCTAATTTATTTCACAGCCACTTCTATACCTGTGCTCCAACTGTAGACTCAAAGGAAATAGGTCACCACACAGATCAGTTAGTCTGCATATTTGAAGGCAGTCAACTTCACCTAACCCATTCCTGACCAACAGTTGTCTAACCAGTTTTAATTGGTCTTTAGCATCTGAGATGCCTTTACTACAACAACCTATTCCAGTACAAATTGACCTGTGCAGTTAGAATGACACTTTTTTTTTATTTTTTTCCTAAAGTCTAACCCAACTTTCCCATGTTCCAGTTAAATCCACGACTTCTTAAAAAATTTCCATGGGCTGAAAAAGCCATGTTCATTCCTTCATTAGCAGAAGCCAAATTTTGGAATCTATATCTTAAAAATTATAACTCTTTTCTTGTCTCTTCTTCTTTAAGGAAAACTATCCTTGTTAGGCTTGTTTTTAATTGCTAAAAATTATAGTATTGGAAATTAGACAAGTTTCTCCTCATAAATTCCTTTCTTTCTATAAAATTCCTTTACTGAGCATCTCAGGAAGCATATTTTCATATTACCTACAGGCAATCTACCTGCCCAGAAGAATCCACATTCTGAATTTGCTGTTTATGGATTGAAATCTCATCTAAGGAAGCTTTTGAGCTTTATAGTTATCTTCATTATTTTGTTGTACCTTTTTCTTTTTCATTAAAGATAAGAGTAAATCTGCTTATGAACAATATAATGTTCTAACGTATTTCCTAGCTTCTCATCCCGCTCTTAAACAGAACTACAGAATTACCCTCTGCCTCAAATGAAGAATCATTACGGATTATTTTTTTCCTTCTGCTCTCATGACTTTTGGCAGCCACAGGGCCACATTTCATATTTATCATTCTGCACATCACAACCTTTTATCTCAAGGCATGGCTGGAGTAACATTGAGTCACCAATGTACATGCTATCTCCTATTCAAAACCTTGGTAGACATCTCCTGCCTAGTCTCTCAGACTGAAAAAAAAAACACCATATTGGTTCTTTATCATTTGCCAAGAAGACGGCTGCCTTGGGTATCCTCATGACTGCATTCACGGTGGCACCAGTGAGGAGATATACTTACTGGACGCTGTGCGCTTCACACAGGACACTGACTCAGGTTTCTTCGGTTGGTTGTTTAATGTTCTCACTTTTCCCGTGATCCCATTGGCAGTCGCAGGAGGTTTCTTGCCTTTAAACTGTTTGAAAACAAAAGTACAAATGGGCTCTGGCTATTCCTGTGTCACTAGCATTGCAGTTAACCCTTCATCAAGGGCAAACCTTGACAAAAAAAAAAAATAAAACAGTTGCTTGCTCAAAGAACCTTAATAGACTACATTGATCCAGCTGGAGACGGCGCATCCTTCAGGAATTTTGTCTCTGAAAGCTGCCTGCTCAGCAGGATACCAGAAGTGAAAACACTGGGAATCACAGGATACTGAGTGGATGAACACCCCATCTCTAGTGATATCCTGGTTTCTAAATTATTCAAAACTCTGGCATTTACTGTACTAAGTCATTGTGAGGCAGAAGAGTTTTACATCATAATTTCACACAGTAAAGTTTCATGAAACACAGGTTATTCAAAGTTAATCGCATACAGAAAGACCCAACATGGTTTGCCACACAGAAATTTGACACTTTCTTATTTACTATATGGTCTTTCCATCACTGTGGTACATGGATTTATTATTTTTCCAATGATACAGTTATTGCACATTTTAAAATATTAGGAGTTAATGCATCAACCTTTAGCTGCTAGTTAAAAGCTTTCTTTCTTTAAAAAAGACAAACCCTCATAATGGCCAGACAGGTCCAGATCATCTTGGAGGTCTTTTCCAACCTTAATAATTCTATGATTCTATAAGATTACCAGGAAAAGTATGTTTTACATCCAAGGGGAGCAGTATGGACTGAAGCCTGGGAGAAGAAATGCTGTCCTGCTTACTCCTGGTGTTTCCATCTGGAATGTGTTAGACAGGCATGAGGCACACCTGTGCCACGATATTTTCACTTGCTTCTAAAAGCTTTTGAGGACTGAACTGAGAGTGCAATGAGAAGCCTGCTGCAGCAGAGTAGGATCAGCGAAATTTATTGCAGAAGCCCCCATCTTTGATTATGCAGCTTCGCTGAATGCTAATATTTGAATATGAGGTTTTTGTAGGGTTTAAGTTAACACATAATGCAAGAGGTACCTTTTGCAAGGGAAGTAACTCTTATCTAACTGTTCTGTTTCAGATTAGATTGAAAGTCACACAGCTCCGTGATACTTTGACAGGCTTATGACCAGCTTTTGGAGACTGTCACAACCAAGCCCTATATCACTTTTTTTTTCTTTCCTAGTCATTATTCCTTGCCTAAGGAGATAGAAAGTGGCTTGATATGAATTCAGATTAAGTTTAGAAGAAAAAAATGTGTTTATTTTTTTGTGTTTTTTTTTTTTTTTTTTTTTTTTTGTATTATCTGCAATCTGTAAATTGTCAAGAGCTTGTGAGGAAGGCCTTCCCCATGTGCCACGAGGAGATAATACTTCCACAGCAGAATTTACAACTTAGCAAAACTGTTTTATGGGCAGTAACTTATGACTAAACCTCAAGCACTTCAGTGCTCAGATAGGGTGAAGTATCCCAACATCCTTAAGAAAACAATCAGATAAACAGAGCAGCCAAAAAAAAACAAAACATTTTGTCAAGTATTAAATAGTACAGTACCTGCGAGACCGATCCCCTCCCCACAGCAGAGGTATTAGTGACAGACTGAGCAGAAGACAGATTGGATGAGACAGGGTGTTTGTAATGGTTAGAGGAGAGTTTGTCAGTAGATAACCTATTGGTTTTTCTGTCAGCTGGCGGATAGCGTGCAAAGATTTTTGGAGACGGCAAGTTATCGTACAGGCCTGCATTATCATAAAGCATTTCTTCTCCAATGTTCCTGCTACGGGAAGAAGGAAAGCCATCTTCTGGTTCCCACTGCAACACACACACTTTGGCAGTTAGTAAACAATACACCATGCAGAACCTAAATGAAATTAAAACATTAGTAAGATTTTTGACCATAGCAAGCCCTCTGCATTTAGCAAGCATATGCTTATTGCTCAGACTTGAAGCTAACTACTTAGTAAGGTGGGAGAAGAAACAGTGTGGAAAGGAAGCATTGCATTACATGGTTTATAGCCTTTGCATTCCAAATAGAATGAGCAAGCCAGTGCTATCCTATTACTTTCCCTGTTCACAGATTGTACCATCAGTGTTTAGCTCTAACATTGAGAGGGCGCAAGGAGAATGTGTTAACAAGGGATACCCACGGGCTGTGCAGATGAAGTTGTGGGATTACATCTGGTACATAAAGTGTTAAAAGTAATAATGCCTATAATGCCTAACAGCTAGCTGAAAATGAGTTTTTTTTGTTTGTTTGTTGTTTGTGTTTGTTTGTTGTTTGTTTGTGTTTTTTTTTTTGTTGTTGTTGTTGTTGTTTTTTTTTCCTTCTTCAGGCTTTGTGTCTTTCCAGTGAATACCAGCTGCTGGAATGTTAGTATTACATTTTCTTTGCTGGAGGATTATTATTCTGAGCTAACTATCTAAAATAGCTACAGGCCATTTCCTTTTTTTATTTTTTCTTCAGAAAAATGGAAAGCTCAACAACAATACTCCAGTGATTCATTCAATCAATCTTAAAAGAAACCAAAGGCCTGGTTGCCAAATATCCTTCCTTAATCCATCCTGGCTGTGGCAGTATGCTACTCATACAAAGGCTTAAGCACATCCAAGAGCTACACACAGAGACTACTCACCCCCCATGCTGTTGCATGCAGTTCCAAACAGTGTTTTTTTCCTACTTTCTGACATTACTAAGACATGATGGAGGCCTGTACTTGCAGTCCACTTAGCACTTTGAAGCAATGAATTCTGAGCGCAGCCTTAGTGGGGGCCCTTATGAAGAGCCCAACTTACGGGCTTCCATATCTCACCTATAAATTTTCTTGAGGACCACATATTACTTTGGGTTAATATCCATTATGTGTTAAATGCTATTACACAGCTGCCTATGATTAGCTCTGCAAGTTAGGAGGATGGAAGTGAGCCCTTTGACTCTCCTTTGGGATCTGCAGTACCTGCTCTCATGAGGAACGAAACCCCAGGGACGGAAAAGTGTTCTGTTTTTTGTTTGTTTGTTTTTCAATTGAGACCAACAAGTGCCCAGTGTAACCGACCACTCAATTTTGACAGGTCTTGTGTGATTGAAAAATACCGCCTTAAGACAGTATCATATTCAAGGACTTGGCAACAAGTCATCAACAGGCAACTGCTTTCTAAATGCACGTTGGCTCACATGCAGGTTAATGTAAGCAATATGTCCCACGCCCCTAATACCCTATAGGTGTGAGGGAAGTTTGCAGTCCCCAGTCAAAAAAATAGGACTTCATTTGGAAACTGCCCAGTGGGCCTTTTTAGATAATATAATTTTCAGATGTCCATGCATTCAACACATGCAAACCATTTGTTCTGTGTAAATTCAATTCTTACCGATCCATTTATGCAAGGAACATCATCATAATGAAGTGCCATTCCACTCGGACATGCATAACCATTGGCAGTGCTTCCCCGGTACGGATTTGTGGATATAACTCGCCTGTTCATAAAACTGAAAAAGGCAAAATAAAAATAATAAAAAACAGCACTTGAACCGAGTCTAAATGATGATTCAGTGGTATGTTCCCTGTATCTGATTTTGTAGTCTGGAAGCACATATCTTCTCTCCTTCTGCAGGAAAGCTGAGGACAGTTTTCCCTTTGCTACTCACATGTTACTGCTAGCAGCCAATATTACACCATATGTTTCTGTATTGTATTCTTACAGCAGGGATAAGGCTGTGTGAAAGCCAGGATGGCAACAGCTGTAACTGCTCAGTGGCATGTTTACATGGGAACCTGCTGATCTATGTTATAAACCAGCTTGCCAGTGTCACATAAATGTTCCCTTGTTGTCTGCATGGGGGAGAAGCAGGTGTTTCTGAGTGCACGCATGTCTGGGGGGATGAGAACTTGGAATCTAGAGAAACAATAATTACATCCAGCAAAAAAATTGAAAAAAGAAGTGGAACTTGGATAAAATTTGAGTCAACACATCCATCAAAATTTGCAGGATAATTTATTCCCCAAATTCTGGGGATTTTTCATGTCCACGTCAGAACTTTTGGCTAGGTAGAGTTTGCACAATGGCACTATGCTTCCCAGCTCTCTGTCTGGGTAACTGTGCACGCAAATACTCCATATTCTCATTATTACTATGTTTCACACAGTGGATGTGAACATTCTGAATGCTTCAAAAGGCATATATATTTTTCATTTTGTTTTCTCTTTCCAAAATCTACCTTGTAGCTTGTGTTACTGGAATTCTGAAGAATATCACAGCCTACAGCGGGCTTTGTGTTGGGAGCAAAGATCTAACAATACACGGACTGACAGAATCAGACCCAATAGTAATAACGACCTCAAGAGGTAGTTTTCCTTTCTAGCAACCTCTGAAATTGAATGAGGTATCAAATGAGATCCCAAATAATTCCTACAGATTCGGGTATATGTGAACAGGAAAACAAAGCTTTCCATCTCAAACAATGGGACTATTCAGGCTCTGTGGTGATATTCATAAAATATGACAAAAGCCCTACTAAACCTGAGAGAGTCTTCTGTAGTGCTGGCTGGAGCTCAAAAGTTCTGTGGTTTCAACATTTGCTTTCTTTTGGCTTTGGAATAAAAATAGTTCACTGAATTTGTTATTCAGAGGGAGACAGACCTCATCCAGCTATGGCTCACCTGAGCCATGGGAGAGCCAGGTTCACTGGAGGGATGAACCTGTCTGGTTGAGTGTGAGCCTTTTAGGTCTGCCACAGCCCCAGTGAATGCACAGGCAGTGCATGGGTGGAATAATCATTAGCTAGAAGCTTTTCTTGTTAAAACAAACAAACAGTAAAGAGCCTAAGATAAATGCCATGATAAAAATGTTTATCATAGCTCATACTTCATTAGAGATTATTAAAGGGCTGCATTTGTTTATTGCTCCTCTTAATGAAGAACATTACTCAAGTGTTTCTGGTTAGTCTAAAGGACTGCATTTGGAGCTGTTATAGTAGCTTTATTTATTTATTTATTTAAGCAGCTTCATTGAGAGTAAAGCATAATAGCCAAGTCTGAAAACTGGGATATTCATTAATAACATCTGATGCACCTGCAGTAACTGTTTCCACCAACACAGTAAACTAACATTTATATAAGTATCTGCAAACACTTCATAAGCATTATTTCACTAAGCCTCTCCAAACCAGTTTACAGAGGCATCCGTGTAAAATAATTGTATTCTGAAACTGCTAGATGGGAAAGCCAATGGAAAAAAGTAATTGGAAACAACTTTTATTCAGCCTTTCCTAGATGCCTAATGATTTACATACAGGAAATTGATGGGATTATTAATGCAGAGTCAATCACTTGGCACAGTAACAGTCTCAGGAAAAGAATAACTAATAAATCGAAGTGGCTGAATGATAACCAATGCTGTAATGATAACTGTTGTTAATTTGGAATATTGATATTTGTCCTATAAAGGGCGGCAATAATATTTTGTTTAGACAAGCATCATTGTCGTTTCTCCTTATTTTCTAGTAGTTGAAAATCAGCAGATGGCTACCCTACTTGCTTATTGACAAGCTCTTACAGTCTTTTTAAGACACCCAATGAATTTTAACTAATTCTTAATAGGGGAATTCTGCTATTTTGCAAGTTGTTTGACATTCCTTTCTAACATGTGGTCTAGTTGCGTATGTTTTTTCACTTGGCTCCAATTAATATCACATTTGTTCAGAAAAGGAAAGCCAAGCAGTATTCAAGGGGAAAAGGTTTCCATTCTGTTTCTTTCTTAAATGTGGTTATTGTGAGATGCTGACTGAAGCAAAAATACATGTCAACACAGGGTAAACTTTTTGAACCCTATTAACTTCAAATATGTAATATAAGTCTATAAGTGAAGTGCATTTTGATTCTATCAAAATTATCTGTTTTTTTTTTGTTTGTTTGTTTGTTTTGTTGTGTTTTTTTTTTTTTTTTTTTTTTTTTTCAAAACTGCGATTGTGGTAACATTGAGTCATTTCCTATCAAAAGAAGTTCAAGCTAGATCCTGAATGAAACTGTGCATTTTCCTTTGCTAAAAGCTCTTTTAACACATAGCTAATGGAAGAAGAGCCTTCTTTAGGAAAACTCTGAAGCTTTTGCCTTTTTTTTTTCATATTCATTCTGTTTAAAGTTATGACAGGCAGATGGGGTGTGATTCTCTAATGTATTGTCATGCGAATTCCATATTTGTGGAATTTGAAGGAAGTCTCATTTGGCAGAGATGAGGGATGACGCCTCTGCAAACTGTCTTGCCAGGCAACCCCTCCTGTGACCCCTGCAAACTGCGGAGTACATCTGTAGCAGGAGATGTTGTGTGTCCCAATTGTTCCTTCATTCCCATTTCTAAACAATCTTATCTAGCCAAGGAAAAATGACAGTCTCATCCCACCAGAGATTGCTTTAATGCCAGAATTAATTAATTAATTTACTTTGAACATGTAAATCACTCTATATGCTAAGTATGCATTACTTTTTTCAACACAGGATTGGTGATGGGGAATTCATTGGACTGATTTGCATTTTAAACATAATTTCTGTGCTGTACCCAAGACTCCTACCCAATTTCCACCTCCTAAATTAAAAACTAGAAATAAATTGAACTGGAGCTTGATTAAGTTTTTAATTAATGAGAAAAGAACTTAAGAAGGAAACATGGAGAAGGTGACTACTCAAGATGTAAATTTGCTGCACATTTTTAGTGGTTCCGTTCAGATACAAATATTAATATAGCCAAGAAGTAAATAATTTTAAACTGCATGGATGCATAATTATTTACTTTTCAGCATTTATCCTCTTCTAGTGATAGCTCCAGGACTTCAACCAAAATAAAATATTAAAATACAGCATTTAGTAAGGAGACTTACTGGGAAAAAAAAAAAAAGAGTCAAGATTTGAGTAAAGTTGGATTGTGTCCACGTTTTTACAGAACTTTAGCAGGATGCCAACAGGATAATCTTAAACACATCTATCATGCTGTGATGCTGAGACACTTAAGGATTTCAAAATCTGGTAAAGGGCTGGGGAGATTTGATAAGCTCTGTTGGCACCAGAGTTAACGTGGAGATATAAATTCTCACAGTACTGAAAACACGCGGGCAGCTGAATGCCTCTCACCAGAAGGTCTGTTTTGCAGCCTGGATGACGCTTGCCGTCATTTCCACATCGATGTAGTCATAGTGCAGAGCTCCAGGGTCTGTTGAAGATCCTGTTTCTGCCAGCAACATCCCTATCCATCTGCCCATGTCTTCAGAGGAAGATGCCTGCAAGGAGAGGGCAAAAGCATACATAAGGTCTTTAGTCAGCCACTAAATTGGGGTTGTCACAGAATTATTTCAAAATGTTGCATTCTTCTTGGCTGACAAATTGCTACCATATTATATGAGAAGCTCTGGCTTTCTTCTGCTGAATTTAGGAAACCCAGGATTTCTCACTAAATCTGCTTTGCTAGAAGTGCACTTTAAGTAAGCCATGTGCTCATCAGTTATGATGTAATATGAAGTGGGCAATCTCCATAAATGAAGAAAAAATAATCACTTATGGCTAGTTGATTTAAATTCAAGTCATGCTTATATTAGACCTCAGAAAATTGAAAACTGTAACAGAACTATTTTCCTAGGAAAGGCCAGGGGGTTTTAGTTAGGATGAATCCTGAGAATAAAGTATTATTGCCAAGTAGAAACAAGGAAAGAAAATAATGTTTGTTTTTTGAAAAATTCCACTTGCATTTGTCTAGCTGATGGCATTTATTTTCCTAGTGACACAAATAAAAACAAATACTGTTAAAATATATTTTTTTTAAATCATATTTTACTTCAAGTCACTAATTGCAAAGTTAAACAGCAGCAAAATAAACAATTGAAAAAAAGGTGGGAAAAAAGAAAGAGTGCGGTTTCTAAATTTTTATTTATTTATGTATTTTAACATTTCATGGCCTTTCATAGCTCTTTAGCCCCTTTCTAGTTTTTCAAATTCTCTGAACTGCTCACATGCAATAGGACTTTTTGCAAGGACATGAGAATAGTATGACCTGCAGTGGGAAAACCAAAGTGGTCAAAGTACCTGTTCTGCCACTGAAAACAAAAGGTTGCCTCCTGCTAAATCTTCACTCTGCTTCACTTTAAGTGGCTTTGCATTTCAGCTTTCAAAATACAATGAATACAGCCCCCTGCAAAAATCACTTTTCAAAGTCCAGTTTTGACAAGATCTGAAAACAAGGTCTGACATAATTGTTTAACTTCATTTTGGCTTTTCAATCACATCTTGCACTTGAATTTGTGGCAGAGGTGTTAAATGCTCTAAATAAGACTAGACGTAGCCACTGAAGGCAATTTTGTAGATCAGATGGGTTTCCTCTACCAGTTTGCCAGTCATCAGCAGTTGCCTACTGTTTTAGAACTGGGATCCCATCAGCCTGGATCCTTCCCCAGGTCAGATCAGCAGTTGTCCAGGCTGCAAGGACTACCACTGTGCAGCTCCCATTCATCCAGGCACACAGTTACTGTGCAGGTAACACAGGTGAAGGTATGATGTCTGTGGTGCTAAGAGTATGTCACTGAGTACACATGCAGTGTATAACGAGACTCACAAAGTTGCTGGCATAATGTCTTTTCCTACTGTAGAACTACATTAACTGAAATTCAGGCTGAACAATAGTTCATGTAAGTAGCAGACAAATGAGGGTTAAGATCTTGAGAGTTCCCATCAACAGTGGTCCATTATTTAATTATTGAGAAGTTATTTATCCAAAGTGATTATAATTCTGATACAAAAGTGTGCCTAGAGAAGGATCACAGAGATTTTAGTACCAAGTCAATAGAACACCAATGCAGGGAAAAAAATCTTACAGACATTTCTGAACTGCATTATGCAACTTGGCCCTAAATCTCCGTTCCTCCTTTGCCTATAATTCTTTTTTCTTTTTTTTTTTTTTTCCCTCCAGTATGTATTATCCATCTCAGAAATAATATTATTTCAAAGATTTTTCAAATGGCCAGTTAGTATGGAAGTGCTTCTCTAATTTAGCTTGTGGTAGTCCCTAAAAGTCATAGCCATTAGCAGCCACGGCACCTCAAGCACAGCAACCTCCTGCCCATTCCGAAGCAGCCGGAAGGTCAGGGGATGCTTTGAATCCAGTCCTGGGATGACTTCACAGCCACGGAGAGGGATAGAAACAATATGTGTCTTCAGATCTGTTCTGTCCTTGTGGAAAATGAGTTTATTATCTTTCACTCGGCACCAGCGCTCACGCCAACGGTTATTTGAGAGCACATTGAGATATCCTGCAACGAAATGAAACATAGGATGTTTTACTCCTGACTTTTTTTGGAAAAAAATACAACTTACTTTTCAATGTAATGCTAGAATTTAAACAACTTATTGCTCTTACAATAGAAAGTCCAGATGGATTTTATGAAGACAAGTAAATGATCCTGCCCCACAAAAAGCATATAAAGATGTGATCCTGCTCACCTGCAAGTGGCTTTCTGTACCAGTCACTGCAGTGGCTGGGTGAGCAGGAGCTCACCAAACCCCAAGACTTTAGTAAGAAGGAAAGAGGTAGAGTAGTAACAAGTACATACACAGCTGATGTGATGTCACACAACTTTTTCATAAAAGAACCACTTTCATGGTTATAATGGTTTTGATAACTGTGACTGCCCAAATTTTCTGGGAAAAAGACCTACTAAGCTCCTTCCACTCAACGACAGTTCAGTCTATTTTGCCAGGAGGAACAATTAGCACAGTTAACTCTACACAATGATGTTACCTGTTCTGATTTCATTTAGAAAGAAGAATGCAATACTTCTAAAGAAGAATTTTAAGGGTCACTACTGATGCCAACAGAAATAAAATTAATATTGGCTTAAAAATTGAGAAATAAATACATATAAAATGTAACTACAGTTTACACAAGCCTTTTTTTTCCTCTCTCTCTCTTTTTTTTTTTTTTTTTTTCACCGAGGATACTACAATACCCTTAGAACAAATCAACATTACATGACTAAATTGCATTTTAAATAAACTCTGCTTTTCATATCATGTTCTATAACAGATGCAGACAGTATCTAGGCATATGGAGTCAGAAAATGAGGAGTGTCTTTCCTTCTCTGTCCCACAGCGACAATCATTCCAGACTCAGCTGTAAAAATCAGGACAATGAACATCCAATTTTGCTGTCTTGCTTCACTTGTAAATGGAGAAAAAAACAAACAAACAAACAAACAAAACCCTCCAACAAATATATTTTGCTTCCACATTACAGTTAAATGCATACAGCATGTTTCCAAACATGCTATGAAGAAAGAGACAAATAATACCCTGCACAGGCCAGAATTTATATATATATAAAATCTTCTACCTCAGGTCTGATTTTCATTTAAGCACTTAATCATGTTGGATAGCTATCTCTTTGGTTTTCATTAAAACTATGACTTATCATTGTTTTTTCTGGATTTCCCTTCCAACATAGTGATTCCAATGTCAAAGCTTGATCCAACAGGATATAGCAGATCAGAATTGCGCACATCTTGGAAGGTGCCATAAAAAAAGAGGATGTGCACAATCCTGTTATTTTGGCTCCTTGTGATGATCACACTCCAACTCTCCTTCCTCCTCCTGTAACAAAAACCTGTATAGCTGTGCATTATAATAGAATCCCTAGAAATGGAAAACCCTTCATGTGCGAGCCAGCTGGCTTGTTTTGGAAAGAGTCCTTTTTTCAGACAGTACTTTTCCCCCACCTCTGCTCCCAATGCAGCTCTAAAAAAAAAACCTCTTCCAAACTATCATACTTCACTTAAATAATCAGGACTGCATACTTGTCCTCCACAATACCCCTACTTAAAGCTTCAGAGCTTGACATGACCAAAATGCCTTGAGCATGTTTCTAGTTGGGGCATTATCACTTCATCTCAGTCCAGGTGGCCGAAGACCAGTGATGCTGTAGGGAAGAACTTTGCCATGACTCTGAGTGCAGGCAGGTTCCCATTTCCACTCTAACTGGGTGTCCTCTGCAGCCCCACTGCGCTTTTCCCTTTGTTCATGGTAGGCAGAGCCTTCTAAAGTGTAAAAGCCTTCAACTATGGAGCAACCTCCCAGAGGGTATTGCACTCAGCCAAATTTCTGGTGGTGAGAAACTCCTTTTGCAAAGACTTCCTGCAATGACCAAAGCCTAGACACTTAGAATATATTTTTCTATAAAATTTGCAAGTGGTGTAGAGTAGAGCCAAATGCAGACAATAGTAATGGCCATATTTATGTCCATTTCTGAAATAATGATAGAAGTACTAGAAATTATGTTGCACAGCTGTGGTTAACATATCACATAATATGAAATAATCAACAGACTGTGAGACCCAGGAAGTTAGAGGCTTTATGGAAGCCAGATGCTTCGGACAATGCATCTGGCTGGACACAGCTTTTACCAGCTGTTCTTTTGCTTGATAAATCACATCTGTACTTAGATGATGTATGGACATATATGCACACACTTATTTAATCACAGATTGCTTATGGGAATGATTCCCAAAGTGTGGCTTGGGAGCCACCTGCCATCTATGAAGTTCTTGCTGGTGGTCTACTGATCTGTTTCTTTCACACTTGGTAAGCATCCATCACACTTTGTGCTGCCTAATCACAGATTTCTGTGTTTCCCAGAGTTTTCCTAATCAATTAAAGGGGAACAGGCAAATACAAATTAAAAATCCAATGCAACTGATTTATATCTGTCTTGCTATGGAACTTTTTTGGGGAAGGTTGGAAGAAGGGTGCAAATTTATTCAAATAAATAGGTGTTACTTAACATTGGAACACCAAAAGGAGAACAGGAGAATGTAAATATATTGCATTGTTTGAAAATAGCAGAGCTGTGATGACATCAGCTAAATGCATTACACAAAGTCCTAATTGGTAAGCAAGCATTAACGGCTCAGATACATAACACAGGCATTTTCTACATGTTTTTTTCATATACTTTATTTGTGTTGCCAAGCAGTACAGCTGTTAGTAGGAATAATCAACATCATCAGTTAAAATAGCTTACTATAAATTTGTTACTTCATTCAAGTTTTGCCCCATATGTACCACTTTGGAAACCACAACTACAATCAAATCACTTTAGCTGAGGCCAGTTGACTGCTGTCATGACTGCCATTGCATATAACCTCATCATAGAACAACCTGGTACCTTCCCAAGAACCTTATTCTAAATCCTAGTGTAAATTTATTTTATAATCTACCCTATATTCATTTTATACCAGTTTGTTTGAAAACAGCTCTTGTTTTCTTCAGAGCCTGTGCTACCGTTTTATTAAAAAAGTAAAGCATTTTTAGTCTCTTTTCAAGTGATACGCTCTTGATTACTCTCTTCCTCTTTCATCAGGTGCATCCTTCTGATGTGGGGGTAAGAATTACATCAGTAAAAGTAAACTTGTAGGAATTTCTAGCTTAGAATTTTATAAAATTTTAGTCACATGCTACATTTCAGACTTAAAAAGAAAAATCACCTACCACATGTTGGTACATCTTCTTCAGCTGATGAGGTCTGTTCATCTGTTGATGGCTTTTTCTTTCCTAAACCTATGATCTTTGTTATCTTTTTCCCTGTTACTTTTGTCACAGTGCCCTTGGCTTCTGATTTTGAGCTTTTTTTCCTCTTTACTGTGAAGAAAGCAAAAGTGTGTATTTTAGTGGGTTTAAATAATCCAATCAACAGAGGGAACCTAAGTAAAAATAATAGTTCAGGTATCCAGAAAAAAAAAATCAAGCTTCTAATTCATTTTAATTTAATCAAGCTTAAAGTCTCTTTCCAAAGCAGTCATCATCTAACTTATCAATATGAATGAACTACTTACCTTATATACACAAGAATAAAAATCCAGCCAGATGATCAGTCACCATTCTAAACATTTACCTCAAAATATTTCAACAGTTAAATACTTAACAAAGACAGAATATGCTTGCCTAGCAAAAGTGGCCCTGCCATCAAGGAATATAAACAGAATGGGCCTTTTAGAAAGACAAGACTTATAAATTTGCAATTAACAATTAAATGAGTGGGATCAGTATAAGCATTCAATGATTAAAGTTCGCACTTTTTGCTATCTTACAAGCTTACATGAAAAAGCTTGCTGAAAGGAAGGATTTTGTCAACTGCCAGTCTATGTTTCCATTAATATGTTACTAGTAACATTACAGCTGTATGCATTGAACCATGGTGAGCTACTGAAAGTAACATGGCAAAGACGACGGATATCATTTTAAGAAGTACCTATCTGACTAAAACCCTAACTAACTAGTTGAAAAATATGGGAAAAAGTTTCTAAAGCCTAAAAGGATTAAAAAAAAATAAAAAATTGCAAAACAGACTCCACCCCCCAAGAAAAAAAATCATCTTCATTTCAGAAATGATGTTCAGTGGATTTGAATTCCATCAACAGAGCAAAAGTTACTCTGATAACTGTCAGGGTAGCAAATTTACTCATGAACTTGCACTGATTTATGATTTTGGTGAAAAATACATTTAAAATAGTTACTGATTGAGCTGCTCTAAGTTTATCCCTGACCTACCAACTCCCTTTGCTACTTCCCCAAAACAGAACATTTAGTGGTTATGGACTTGTGTAAACTGAAGAGAAATAGGACAAAATGTTCACATGAAAAATAATTATGAACTGATGAACTGGGAAGAAGAATGCACGGAAAACAGAGTAGCAGTTTGGGACTCACAATGGCATAATTTATCATGTTTAGTGTAATTGTTAGCAAACATGGAAAATGATTTAGAAATTTTATCTATAGTCAAGACTGTACAAATAAATCTGCCACCTGCTACATGTGGTGCTGAGGGGGAAAAGGTGTTTTTGGGGAGTGGATAGCTTTTGCTCCAGCAAACATCAATGCAGTGTGTGCAAGCAAAGGTCCAATACTCGCTTCCTGAGGAAAGGCTGTTTACAACTTATCCAGAGCTTTCCAAACATGAAACAAACTCCCATGGTTGAGGGAGCTATTTTATTCTGCTGTAGAACTGAGAGGCAGCAGAAACAAGGCCTTCATGACTTCATGTTTCAGACTCTCAGAGATATACTGATTGCATGACTGCAAGTGATTTTTGTCACAAAAACCTTTTCTTCTTTCGGTGCTGGGGCCGGTCCTCTCGGTGCTGGGGCCGGTCCTTTCGGTGCTGGGGCCAGTCCTCTTTAACATCTTCATCAGTGATCTGGATGACGGCATTGAGTGCACCCTCAGTAAGTTTGCAGATGACACCAAGCTAGGTGCGTGTGTCGATCTGCTCGAGGGTAGGAAGGCTCTGCAGGAGGATCTGGATAGGCTGCACCGATGGGCTGAGGTCAACTGTATGAAGTTCAACAAGGCCAAGTCCCGGGTCCTGCACCTGGGGCGCAATAACCCCAAGCAGAGCTACAGGCTGGGAGAGGAATGGTTGGAGAGCTGCCAGGCAGAGAAGGACCTGGGAGTATTGGTTGACAGTCAGCTGAATATGAGCCAGCAGTGTGCTCAGGTGGCCAAGAAGGCCAACGGCATCCTGGCTTGTATCAGAAACACTGTGACCAGCAGGGCTAGGGAGGTGATCGTCCCCCTGTACTCGGCTCTGGTGAGGCCGCACCTCGAGTACTGTGTTCAGTTTTGGGCCCCTCGCTACAAGAAGGACATCGAGGTGCTTGAGCGGGTCCAAAGAAGGGCGACGAAGCTGGTGAGGGGCCTGGAGAGCAAGTCCTACAAGGAGCGGCTGAAGGAGCTGGGCTTGTTCAGCCTGGAGAAGAGGAGGCTCAGGGGTGACCTTATTGCTCTGTATAAGTACATTAAAGGAGGCTGTAGCGAGGTGGGGGTTGGCCTGTTCTCCCATGTGCCTGGTGGCAGGACGAGGGGGAATGGGCTAAAGTTACGCCAGGGGAGTTTTAGGTTAGATGTTAGGAAGAATTTCTTTACTGAAAGGGTTCTTAGGCACTGGAACGGGCTGCCCAGGGAGGTGGTGGAGTCACCATCCCTGGAAGTCTTCAAAAGACGTTTAGATGTAGAACTTAGGGATATGGTTTAGTGGGTACTGTTAGTGTTAGGTTAGAGGTTGGACTCGATGATCTTGAGGTCTCTTCCAACCTAGAGATTCTGTGATTCTCTTTTCCTTCCCACAGCAAAACAAGAAGCTGGTTGAGTGGCAGAAAGGCTGGTCTATGGGTAATGTACAGCAAAGCAAGCTCCCTTAAGCATTTCCTTCCCATTGTTTAAAACCAATTAAAAATATTGCAACTTCACCCAGAACCACATAAAATAATGTCGAAAATATTTTAATCTCTTTGTAGTCATTAATGTCTGTTAATATTATTACTACACAGTTGAAGGTCATAATTTTCAAAGCAACTGGTATTTTTAACTACCCTTCTTGAGAAATCTGAGGTGTGCTGGCTTTCTAGCAGAGCATGCTCCATCAGCATGCTTCCTGCAGGGCACCTGAGGTACCAGCCACTTTTGGACATCTTGGAGAACACCCATTCAGCTTGTGTACCACTGAGGTACTCAGCAGGCTCCAGAGGTTAAAACAGTACTGAGCTTTTTGAAAGCTAAGTGGAAGACTTCATGCTGTGGAATCTGACCATGTGCTGCAACTTCTGCAAACCACCATAGCTGGCAGTGTGCCATACTGTTGGGTATGTAAGAAATCTTTATGGTCAGGAAACGCTGGAAAATAACACAGGAAGAAGACAGTGAGAGAGTCAAAAGGCAAGACAGGGCTGGCACCAAAGCCAGTATTGACACATTATGTTCTCTGCGGCTCACATTACCCTCATCTTCACAGCTGTAGAAAAATGTCAGTTTTGTGTATCTAAATGATACTATTGCTACACATCAAGCTAAGGAAGTCACAGAGGTTTCTTTGTTTTGGGGAGGATGGTGAGATGTGGGGATGGAAGTATAGGGGTTGAGTTTTTTACATATAACTCAGACAAAATTCCCTCTGGGTTTGGGATGTGCCTCTGTCAGATTATAAGGAATATAAAATATGCACAGCTCCAAAGTAGCATGTGTAAAAGTATATGATTATATAAACCCATTGATATTACATTATTAGGTACATTTTAATATGTTAATATATATAATCATACATAATACTCATTTTTACATGTGTGTATAAATACATGTGTATAGACTGACATATATGTCTCTGTATACATATATATACATAATATGCACTCTTTGTAGCATTCAATTATAGGGCTTTTTTTTGCTGAAAATCTACATTCACTATTCATGTTGCTGCTGTACACAATTACCACAAGCAACTGTTAGATGCTTATAGTGGTTGCTCTTATCCTGAAGAAAATGTACTTTTGAATACACAAAAAGTCCAAGCTGAAATTTCTGTATTCTATTTACTTGTACTAATTATATTGATTTTACCCACACAATAACAATTCAAAAGCATTACTACCTATTTAAAAAAAAAAAAATCTATACCTATTTTACTACTCTCTGTATTTGCGGACACTTTACAAAAAGCATCCAACGTTTGAGACTTACCTTGTTCTTTTCCATTGCACACTGTAGCAATGCCATTTTCCACAGCACCCTCCCCATCTGAACTTGGCCTCTCAGATGACAACTTCTGCAAGGACAAAGAAAGCTGCCATATAATGTCACCTTCATCAAATTAAGTGTCATGAGTCAAAGTATGCTTACTATGAAGTAAAACACTTTCTAAGCACCGATCCACCTGAAGACAAACTTAAGTTAGTAAAAAGGTTTTTTGTTGTTGTTGTTTTAATACTACCATATAGACTTTAGAATAGCACAGAAACTACAAATTAACTCCATATTTGAAAGTACAGTAAAAAGATTTTCCTTCCCAGGAAACTGGTGATAAAGCCTTTGTCAGTAGGACTTTTAAGTAGGGTCTACAGAGGCGTTTGCTCATGTGGATGCCTCAACGCAGCAGGGGCTTAATCAGTGCTGATAAAGTACTGACTATTCACTGCAGAGTTGTTCTCCTTTCGAATTCTTGCTCAAATATCTTGCTTAGTAAAGGAAGCAGAGACAACTGCTTGTGGTAGCTTCTTACAAGTTTTTGTGTTAAGGCACAAATGCTTGAAAGGGTCTACTGAAACTGACAGCATGCCCAGGGAGATCTTTAAGAACTAAATTCTCAAAGAGAAAAGACTTCCCCTCAAAACTTCTCTATCATCTTCAGCTATTCTTCCCTGAGTGCTACAGCCTTGCTTGCACTTTGCACTATATGGAGTGTCTCTGCAATGTAGCTCACACAGCACAGCTACTTGGTCTGCACCATTTAGCAGCTCAAGAGAAGCTGCTGTTGGATACAAGACAGTCTGTTGGTTGTTCATGACCAAATGAATATACAGAGCAGAATTTTTAACTCTGTAGGATATATACACACATATCCAAATAAATTAAGAGAATGCAGGGGGTGGTATTTTAAAACAGCAACACAAATCACCAAGGATTTATTTAAAACCTCCCTAGAATATGGTATAACAAGAAGACGTTAGTGCATTAAATCCAGAAACTAAATCTAATTTCAGCTTTTGTGGAAGTGAGCATTATTGGTTTGGTAACTTTACCTTTTCGAGTTCTGTCTTGTGTACTGGAGAACTAGACAATGGCCCATCGGAGTCTACAGTGCCTGTACAGTTGCTGCACACATCTTTTATAACCTTAGGAGACAAAAAATAAATAATTAGCTACCAAATACAAATCAGAGAAATTATGCATGAATGTTAAGGGGAAATAGGAAGGAGAATCACACAGCCTTTTAGTAGGCTGGCAGGTTAGCAAAGCATCAATGTGAAAATCTCCCTGTCCACAGAAATGTGTTAGGCAGGCCGCCACTGTATGAAGCTCTCCACACTGCCTCCCTAAGTCATTTCATATGTGACCTCAAGGAGACATAATGTCTAGAGGTGGAAGGTTTCAGTTTCTAGACAAGTTAAGCTCCGAGGCTCTCCTGAGTAAAGAAACCAACAGTGCTAGTGATTTCTATGTGCTAGTTTTGCAATATGAACTCAGCTGACACCACCAAATTACTTGCACTATGATGACAAGGATAACAGTTTTGCATAGCATATTACACAGCTGTTTTTGTTGTTGTCTTTTTTTAGTTTAGTTTTATTTTGTTTTTTGCTATTGAAGATCTAAGGAAGTGCCAATGAATACCTTGGAGTGGCATTTTGTGATATTTTCACTTTATACTTTCATACAGACATAAAGGTATAGGTCAATGTAATTGTAAATGTGTTTTCAGAAATGGGCATTAAGTCTGTTTTTAAAATGTTAAATAAAATTCCAGAACCTAGAAATCAATGAGATTTCGATAGAAACTGAAGTTCAAAACCTGAAACTAAATAAATGTAAAAATACACAATGAGCAAAGACATTTGTTGTTTCCCTATGGACGTCACTACTTTTTTTTTTTGTTTTCCCCCTCTAGTAAGGTTCCCACCTGACCATTATCGGTCTGATGAGGACAGATCTTGAAACTTCATGTCGATTAATGTGGAGAATGATTACACTTTTTATGTCACACATGGTACTCATTACTCTTTTTTTTGTCAACTTACCTTGTGACTGTGATAACACACAAGCTTAAGGTCTACATGAGCAGTCAGAAAAAGTGGGCTAGGGAAAGCAGCAATAAACACTACTATCATTTTTAAAGCTTTTCAGACATACATTAAATAAAAAAAATTTAAGTAGATATTTGGACAGATAAATTAGAAAGCAGCAGACAGAGAAATTAGAACACACCCTTTGTGGGGAGAGCTCTTCAGTGTTCAGCATATCAAATCAGTATTTACCACATCTTATCATTACTAAGCAGGTCCTGATTGCCTAACCTGATCCCTTCTATGATAAGATGACCTGCTGAATGCATGAGGGATAGGCTGTGGATGTTGTTTACTTAGACTTTAGCAAAACATTTGAAGTTGTTTCCCACAGCCCTCCTCTGGAGAAACTGGCTGCTCATGGCTTGGCTGGACATTCTGTCAGCTGGTTTAAAACCTGTCTGGGTGGCCAGGCCCAAAGGGTCACAGTGAATGGAGTCAAATCCAATTGGCAGCCAGTCACAAGTGGTGCTCCCCAGGGCTCTGTACTGGGGGCAGTTTTGTTTAACATTTTTAACAACAAACTTGATGAGAGGATTGAGTGCACCATCAGTAAGTCTGCAGACAACACCAAGTTGGGTGGAAGTGTTGATCTGCTTGAGGGTTGGAAGGCTCGGCAGAGGAATCTGGATAGGCTGAATCAATGGGCTGTTTCCAGCTGTATGGCATTCAATAAGTCTTGAGTGGTACATTTCAGTCATAATAATGCCATGCAGTGGTATAGGCTTAGGGAAGAGTGCCTGGAAAGTTGCCTGGCAGAAAAAGACTTGAGGATGCTGTGCTGGTTGGCAGCCAAATGAACATGAGCCAGCAGTGTGCCCGGGTGGCCAAGAAAACCAATGCCATTCTGGCCTGCATCAGAAATCAACTGGTCAGCAGGCCTAAGGAAGTGATTGTCCCTCAGTACTTGCCACTAGTGAGACTACACCTTGAGTACTGTGTTTAGTTTTGAGCCCCATGCTACAAGAAGGACATTGAGTTGTGAAATGTGTTCAGAGAAGAGCAACAAAGCTGCTGAAAGGACTAGAAAACAAGACATATGAGGGGTGACTCAGGGAACTGGGCCTGTAGTCTAGGGAAAAGGAGGCCGAGGGGAGACCTGATCAATCTCTACAACTATAGAACCGTAGAACCATAAAATGTCCTGAGTTGGAAGGGACCCATAAGGATCATTGAGTCCAACTCTTCTGGCTCCAAACAGAACCTCACAAAAATTCAGACCCTATGACTGAGAGCACAGTCCAAATGCTTCTTAAAACTCCAACAGGCTTGGTGTCATGACTATGTCCCTGGGGAGCCTGTTCCAGTGCGCTACCACCCTCTCGGTGAAGAATCTCTTCCTGATGTCCAGCCTGGACCTCCCCTGTTGCAGCTTGACACCATTCTTGCGGGTCCTATTGCCTGTCACTAAAGAGAATAGATTGGCGCCTGTCCCTCCACTCCTTCTCATGAGGAAGCTGTAGACCGTGATGAGGTCTCCCCTCAGCCTCCTCGTTTCCAGGCTGAATAGGCCAAGTGACCTCAGCCACTCCTCATATGTCTACCCCTCTAGGCCCTTCACCATCTTTGTAGCCCTTCTCTGGACACTCTCCAACAGTTTCACATCCTTTTTGTGCAGTGGTGCCCAGCTCTCCAACCACTCATCTCCCAGCCTGTAGCTCTGCTTGGGGTTGTTGTGCCCCAGGTGCAGGACCCGGCACTTGGCCTTGTTGAACTTCATGCAGTTGACCTCAGCCCATCGGTGCAGCCTATCCAGATCCTCCTGCAGAGCCTTCCTATCCTTGAGCAGATCGACACACGCACCTAGCTTGGTGTCATCTGCAAACTTACTGAGGGTGCACTCAGTGCCCATGTCCAGATCATCGATGAAGATATTAAAGAGGACCGGCCCCAGTACCGAGCCCTGGGGAACACCACTAGTAACCGGCCTCCAACTGGACTTGACTCCATTTACCACGACTCTTTGGGCCCGGCTATCCAGCCAGTTTCTAACCCAACGAAGCGTGCGCCAGTTCAAGCCTAGGGCAGCCAGTTTCTTGAGGAGAATGCTGTGGGAGACGGTGTCAAAAGCCTTGCTGAAGTCAAGGTAGACCACATCCGCAGCCTTTCCCTCATCCACCCAGTGCGTCACTTTGTCATAGAAGGAGATCAGGTTCGTCAAGCAGGACCTGCCTTTCATAAACCCATGCTGAGTGGGCCTGCTCGCCTGCTTGCCCTGCAAGGGCTGCGTGATGACTCTCAAGTCATAATACATAGCCCACAGAATGTCAGCAATGAACTAGATGCAGCTACAAATGAGCGCATGCAGCAGCATGCAGAGGAGCTGCAAGCGTGCATGATGCAGCTGCTGCTAGAAATGGAGCAGAGGGACCAGGAGCACAGCTGGGCGCATGTGGGAGCCCTGCTCCTATCTATGCTGCTGCACTGACAGTTCTGGGCCCTGACTGGAGACCTTGTCTTGTTCTTTGTACTTTGCCACATGCTCATGAAATTGTGTCGTGAACTGGGCAGCAGAAACAAGAAGGGCATCTCTGGAAGCAAGGGGGACGATGACATTGAGGAAGACTCCACTGACATTTTGGATGCACGCAGATTTGTCAGTGTGTACCTGCAGTGGCCAGTGAGGAACCCGAAAGAAACATGCAAGCTCGTGGAGGAAGTGGTGGATAAGCTTCTCTGTGTCTGCCAGACCATTCCCAGGAATAAGTTTATGCCACGACTGCATTCACCCATTGGGGTGAGCAGCACCTTCGGTCCCACTGAGAATGATACAACTCGTGTGCATGATGAATTAAAGGCACTATATCCCATAAAGATAGGAAGAAAACCAACCCTGTTTTACAGATGAAGAACTTGGGAATGAAAGAAGGATTAAATCACTCACTCAATGTCACATAAAAAATCTAAGCAGAGGAGGGAAATGAACCTACATTTTTATTTCTAAGCAAGTATCTTAAAATGTTTCAGTGTTCTTTCTTGGCTGTTTGAATTTCTCCGTATCTTTTCTCAGAAACGTAAGCACAGTACTATCAAATTCATGGCACTTGGCATGCTTTGTAACAGAAAATTTAGATGTGTCTGTTCCAGAATATTTCCATCTTGGAGTTAAACTTAGCCCTAAGTTCCTCCCAAAATACATTAGAAATTGTTTATGTGTATTGCTTTCCTTTCAATTGCTGGTCTTCAGCTTGGTGTGAAATTGCTGTTTTCCTCGAGAAATGTGACCATACAGTTTCTGAGAACATTCATTTCTGTCTCCTGCATGACCCTGATTCAATGGCTCATGTTTTCAGCATCTGCTCACACCACACAGTTAGTTAATTTTGGCAAAGGCAGATAGTAATGGGAGTTACAGACAGAACAGAGGGAAATGATTTGGCAGCACTAACTGAATAGTATGTGCAAAGTCATGCACTCAAGTAAATACGGTTCTTATCATACCTCACATATTTAAGGAGACGATAAAGTGTGTAATTGGGTTGTAATTAAATTTTGATTAAAAAAAATGACACACTCTCAAATGGAAGTTCACATCAAGATATGAAGAAAATGCACATTTAAGGATCCCACACTTCATTTCAGCTCAAGGGGTTCACTGGCAAAGGCTTGCTCATCATCTTCTATATGCTGTATAATTGTATTTGATGCACAGCATAAAACTCATACTTACAGAGCTCACCAGGATGAAATGCCTTTAATATATAATGGTTGACTGGATGCACTCTATAATTACGTTTGCAGACAGCTGCCATTATAAATGCGGTTTTCACATGCTTATAGCTTTAACTCAAAATTTTAAGGATAAAACATTCCACCAGTGCTGCCAACTTGCATAATTTCAATCACAAGACTCAGAGTCCTTAACAATTTTTTCTATGATGTTCCATCTCCTGGAGTCATATGAAAACAAAAGAACGCTATTTTCATTAAAAAATACGTGTGAGCAGGAGCGGGGAGAGGAGGTCAGAAAATTTTTATCTGCTGCAATGAAATGTATGAATATTTGAGCAAATATCTCAATGGTTCCAAAACTAGAAAGCAAATAAAAGGAA